CCGCCCGCCGCATTGCCCGCCTTGCTGTTTTCCGCAGCGGCCGGACTATCTGCCGGAGCTCCTTCTGGTGTGTCCATCGGAGGAGCCGGGGGTGAGGCGGCGAGAGGTGAAGGAGCTTCTGCGGGACTCGGTGACTTCGCCGGAGACGGCGTCGGTGCACTCACTGGCTCAGGAGCCGGCGCCGGAGATGGAGATTTTCCGAATAACTCGGTGGGGAGGAGGACGTTGTCGACGGTGAAAATCGCGATCGGAGTTGCATCGAGCACAGTGTCGGCGACTCTGGATGGGCCAACGCCTGTGTGGAGGACGACCTCGTCGCCGGATGTTGAAGTCGTGATACCGAATTTCCCGGCTCCGTTAGTGGCTAATGTGGAGATCGAGCCTTTGTTCGTCTTGAGCGAGCCCTTGGGCTTGTACTCGGTCAGAGCGTGATACTCTAGGAGCGAGACGAGCTCAGCCTGGGTGAGCTTGCTCAGATCTGGAACTCCATCGGCCTTGAACGCTTCATCGGATGGCGCGAAAACCGTTAAACCTTTGTCGACGGCCGATTCGTAGGTCTTAATCACACCACTCGTCACAAGCAAATTGGCGAATGTCTTGCAACCGGCCTTCTCAAGCAACCCCGTGATGTTAACTTCGGCGGCGGAAGGTGCAGGCGCCGTCAAAAGCCCCGGAGAGATTATCGGCGCGTCGATCTCGAGAACGGAGATGTTGTACGGAATCTGCTTGATGGATTTGGTGTAGGACGAATCGAGCTTGGATCCCGAAGCGGCGGAGCCAAATCCGACCTTGCCGCCTTTGAGATCGGTGATGTTGACGAACCCAAGGTTCCCAGGGGCATTTCCAGTAGTTTGGTAGAGAGTGGTGGTGAGTGTGGTACCTTTGGAGATCTGGTGGAGCTTCTGAGTATCGTAGTAGTCGAGGAGGACGAGGAGGCTAAGGGCGTTCTTCACGACGGAGAGTGGGTGTTTTCCGGCGAGTGCGGACATGGCACCATTGCTGAGGACCAGGACGGTGATAGTGGTGCGGCTGGTGATCTCGTCGGCGAGCCTCGTCTGGGGGAGGTAACTGTTGAAGTTCTTCACGACGGAGAGTGGGTGTTTTCCGGCGAGTGCGGACATGGCACCATTGCTGAGGACCAGGACGGTGATAGTGGTGCGGCTGTTGATCTCGTCGGCGAGCCTCGTCTGGGTGAGGTAACTGTTGAACTGCGAATAATCCGGCGAGCCGGAGAGGATTTCCGTGATGTTGTGGCCACCGACGGTGGAGAATACGACCAGGAAAGAGAAAATTAAGGCGATGAGGGAGAATGTAGGTAGTGCGGCCATGGCGTACGCTAAGAGAGGAATGGAGGCGTGGAACAGAGAGTGTGAAGAGTGATGAAGTAAAGAATTAAATGGAAGACGAAGGAATGTTAACCAGGGTCAGAATTTAACCGTGATAGGGTTAGAATTCTGACTAGAGTTGATGCTTTTGTTTTATGTCTCTGTGCAAGTCGGGTTGGGTTGGGGGCCATATGCTTTTTCCGGACACAGCTGGAAATACAAGGGGAGACGGAGAGCACTGTCCCTTTCGCCGAAATTACAAAAATGGGCTTTTGGGCTTCCGGCTTTTGAAAAAAGCAACCGTCACAATGGTACCATCGCGGGTTCTCTCGAACTCAACCCTGGTTAATGGTTGACCATTTCAAAATCAAAATTCATATACAAAAACAAAAACGTGTGATATCATACTAGTAACTGAAATCATCACGTTCGTATATAACCATACCATCCATTGACAAAGCAACAATTTAACAATCCTCATGGCCATAACTCGGACTTATTGTATTTAATATTTGACGCGACCAACAGAATCTTGTACGTTGTAAATTGTAACATCGAATCCCATATACACAACTAGCGAACATGATGGCAAAATATGACTCATGTAGAAGAAATTGGTCCAAATTAAAATCACATAATGGGCCTAGAATGGGCCCAAGTTGGACTCACAAAGAGAGAAGCGTGGGCGCGTCGTGGAGCCGGTGGTCACTGAGCTTTTGTTTTTCTAATGCGGAGTGAGCCGAATTATAAAGCAGGAAGGCACCCAGAGACGAGTGGAAAGCAGCGTTGGTCAGGCGAGGATGGCCTCTTCATCTGCAGGCGCTTTCCCGAGCATGTGTGCCGTGGCACTGAGGTATCTGGTTATAGCCCTTCACTTGATGAAGCTGCGAAGTTCTTAGGCAGCAACAAGAAAGATATAAGCGCAAGAAGCAGACTTGTCGACTGCAATCCATTTGAGATTGTGAGTTGCTCTACAACATGAGTTTCAGACATATGTAATCCATTTGAGATTGTCTTTTCTTGATCTTTAGCTCATGTGCCTCCTCTCACTGTCGAGTTGCTTCCTCTTGGTGGGTTTCCATTAAATAGAGCTGAAAAAGAAAATGAACCAGGAAGGTGTCGAAGAACAGATGGAAAGAAGTGGAGATGACGGAAAGATGCATTACCTTTTCAGAAATACTGTCCTAAACACGTGCATACCAATGCAGAAGTTAATACCTCTTCTGTTCCGTACTCCACGATTGCAAATGCAGGATCTGCAGCTTGCAAAGACAGAGATGATAATGCCAAACTGAATACCAGAACTCTCTATGTCGGTCCCTGCAAATTACCTTAGCCAAGGTTGTGATGGAAAGAGCAATTGCAGTTGCAGTACCGACACCACCATTACTGATACAGCTTTAAGGGGTGAAGGCAACGATGACTTGTCAGCGTGTTTGGGTGTTTAGATGTGTTTCGGGTTCGTAAAAAATAGTCGATCACAGAGACAGATAAATTCAATGGTTGGACCTACAGGGTCCCTTTCTATATGCATCATTACTGCAAATAAGTGCATTGAACAATCCTAATATCAGATGCATTGAACAGAGGTAGAACAATATGAACAACATTAGGTTTATCTTTGAAGTCTCTTTCTCACCAATGTGGAGACAGTGGATTGAAAAGATATGCTATTTGTCCTGAGATTGGGAAACTAGCATCAGGGCTCAGAAGCTTTTACTTGCTGCACATTCCCTTGGGATCTGCGTTCTTGACGATCCAAGGATGCTGCATGATCTTCTGGAGAGAGAGCCGCTTTGAGGGATCCTTCATAAGAAGCTGCAGAAAATTTCAGATAGTTAATGGCTGATAACTAATCTTGTAAAAAATGGCATATCTTTTCCCATGAGAAACAGATGGAGACATGCTTTGGCTACGCATGTTACCTGACTGATGAGATTTTTGGCTTCCGCAGAAACATAAGGCGTCAAAGGAAAACTCAGGTCAACCCTAACAATCCTGCACAACAATTGTTGATGATGTAACGATCGGAAAACTAAGGCTTTAGCTTGTATAATGCATCATGCATGTCATTTCCATGAATGGTTATAGCTTCCGTTACCTCTTGAATGTATCTTTTTGACTCTCTGCCTCGAACGGAGGGTTACCATAGAGAAACTCATAACACAGTACGCCTAAAGTCCAGTTATCAACAGCATAATCATGGTCTCTGTTTTCCACCATTTCAGGCGCCAAGTAATCCAACGTTCCACACATTGTTTTTCTCTTGCTACTAGACTGTACAGACCATCCAAAGTCGGCGATTTTCAACCTACCCTACATTCATAACCACGCTAATTAGTTACTAGGATGAAAATCCCGAGTCCCCGTTATGCCCACAATTGTAAACAAACAAAGCATACCTCATGATCAAGCAACAAGTTTTCAGGCTTGATGTCTCTGTGAATCACACATTTTCCGTGACAATAAGCCAGTGCCTGAGTGAGACTTGCAATATACTGAAAAGGAGAGCAATGGCATAAATAAAAACCCGAAAACAAGAGAAAGCCCTCAAAGTCTCAGCAGACATTAGCTTGAATTGAACTACTAAGAAGAAAACCAAAAACAATCCACATATCATGCATTTGGGGATATGTATATAACCAACTAAATTCAAATCAAGCGATCAAATGTCTTAGGCCAGTTCTGAGATGAAAGGAGACAGGGAGGAAATCACCGTGGCGGCTTGTTTTTCATTGAGATGACCGTTCTTTTTAAGGAGGCCATAGAGCTCACCGCCATGAGCATACTCGAGAATCAAGAAAATGCGCTCACTGTCATGGAACCAACCGTAGAGACGCAGAATATTGGGGTGGTGCAGTTTTGTCTGGATCTCCATCTCTCTCCTTAGCTGATGATGAATTCTGTACTTCTCTATCTGTTCCTTGAATATCACCTTCAGAGCCACCACATATTTACTCTACTCCAAAGAACGAAAGAACATAGCATAAGAAACAGTCTAATGAGCATATTTGAAGACAACATCGTACTAAATTAAGACTGAGAAGAAAGCCAGATCACGGGTAAATCTCTTCGTACGATCGTTTTCTCCCCCAGATTTTGTGGTTTCAAACGAAAATGAAATTGAAAGAAACTCCGATAACCCTAATCCATCAGAGGGAAAGCAAGATGTCGGGTAAATCTCTTCGTAGAGTCGTTTTCTCCCCCAGAATTTGCGGTTTCAAACGAAAATGAAATTGAAAGAAGCTCCGATAACCCTGATCCTAATCCTAATCCTAATCCATCAGAGGGAAATTCATAGAAATTTCATAGGGGAAACAAGTACCTTGACTTCTCGGGCCAGATAGACTCTGCCGAACTTGCCTTTGCCGAGGGGTTTCCCGATCTCGAAATCATCCAGTGACCATTGCTTCTCGAGATTGTTTACTTCAGCCTCCTTCGATCCAGATTCCATTTTTGGAATCACCGAGCTGTTCGTGATTCGATAACCCAGTCTCCGGAATAAACCGAGTGACAGAAATAAATCTGAGCGGCGAAAATCTGTTCGATGTAGGGGTTTGAATTTCCGAGACCTCGTTCAAAACGCAGCGTTTCTCACCCACCTACGTTTTCGGACGCTCCGGTTTCGAACGTTCAAAACGCAGCGAATTGCAATTTGAGAGGCTGAAAGTCCTTTTCACCCTCGTCAGTGTTGCAAAATCACGAAAGTACCAAAGATCGATATCACTATGATTTAATTATTATCAATTTAATATTAAGATAAGAAACAGAATCGGCTTCCCTGATTTTTATTAAAAAAAAAAGAAGAGAGGCAGAAGTAGTAATAAACGTCAAATGCACGCAAGATGTGTGTGTGTATATAAACGCATGGATTAAAAGAAGAAGAAAAAAAAAACATTTTCCCCATATATATATGTGTGTCTCAAAATGAGACGCGTAGATTTTGTTATTGCTGCATACGTCCAAGAGCTTACTGTAACGGATGGGGACGAAACGTGCTTATTTGTGTCGTGACCCAAAAGATGATTGGGTACCATTCAATCCAAATCCATATGCATCGAACGATAATAACTAATTTAAGCATACGACAGATCGGATCAAGAAGTGGGACCGGCACGTTTCTTGATGGGCACGGCACGCAGCGGCCTGGCCTTGTGCAAGGTGAGACCGAAGGCCTCTTCCATGTCCAAATCCTCCGGAACGGCGCCGTTTTGGAGCTTCCAGTCGAAGGAATGAAGAAGAGAAGCAAGCATGAGAGGCACCGTCTTAAGAGCCAATGGCATTCCCGGACAGATCCTCCGTCCCGCTCCGAACGGCGTCAACTCGAAATCCTTACCTTTCACGTCGATTTCCCGCTCTAAGAACCTCTCCGGTTCGAACTTCATCGGATTCTCCCACACGTCCGGATCTCGTCCTATCGCCCACACATTAATCAAAACCTGTTTCCACAGAAGAGGGTCTGAAATATTATAACACAGTCCGTGTTATATTAATTTGAATGTCGTAATGCATTATAATAGTACTTGAGCGTTCTTAGGCACGAGGAAACCGAGAATTTGAACGTCGGACTCTGCTTTGCGAGGGATGAGAAGAGGGGCCGGCGGGTGCAAGCGGAAAGTCTCTTTCACCACTGCTTGCAAGTACGGAAGCTTTGCTATGTCCGATTCTTGAACGATTTCGTGTTCTCCAATCATTCGTCTGATCTCCTCCTGGGCCCTTTCCATCTTCTCAGGGTTTCGGAGTAACTCGGCCATTGCCCATTCCACCGTACTGGAGTTCGTATCCGTACCCGCTCCAAACAAGTCCTGGTATACATATATGCATAAATACATTACATACGTGTATATATGGAAGAGCCTGCCTCTAAATACAAAACAAGGATTTGCAGGAACTCACCAGAAGAAGGTGTGAAATAGATTTCATGTCGAGTTCTGCTTCGTTATCTCGTGTAAGATCGAGAAGGGCATCCAAAAGATCGGTGCCGGGAACATCTTTAGGCTCTGTCCGGGATAATCTCTCTCTCGACCGAGCATCAATAAACCCTTGGAAGACATTGAACAACTTGCCTGTGCAATCCCTAGCCTCTTTCCCAGTGCCCTGCAGATCAAGAAACCCTAGAAACGGGAAAAAGTTGGCAATATCGATTTTCCCGGCCACTTCCATTACACGGATCACAATGTCGCGGTAGTCCTGAGAAGCTTGCGAGTCGTAGCTGGCGAAGTCGACGGAAAACAGAGCATTCGAGACGATGTTGAGGACAGCGACGAAGGAAGCACGAGCAAAGTCCACTGCTTCTCCTCTTTCGGAGCTTTCACTCAGAAACTTCAACAGCTCCTTCACCTTGTCCATTCGGACAGATTTTGTCGCCTCAAGACGTTGCGGCGAGAACAGCTGATTCGCAGACACCTTCCTCAATAACCTGAAACAAATGCACACAGAAACAATATATATATATATATATATGTGTGTGTGTGTGTGTGTGTGGAATTCCTAATTGATGATTACAGATACGGGAATAAAAAAAAAAGGAAATGGGTATTTACCTCCAAGGAGCTGTGGGTGGAAGCCAGACAATGGAAACATCGTGGTGACCGAAGGATCTTACAGAGTAGTTGAAGGTTCGAGCAGACAAGACATGGTCATGCGTTTGAAGCACATTCTTTGCCGCCTCCGGCGAAGACACCACCACTGTGGTCACAGTCCCTAGCTTCAAACTCATTACTGGTCCATAAGTTTTGGAGAGCTCGGCGAGTGAACGGTGGGGGCTTTTCCCGAGGTCGAGAATGTTTCCGATGATCGGTAACCGCGGAGGACCTGGCGGTGGCGCGGCGGTTCCGGCGGAGCTCCGTCGGGATCTGTCAGAGGTGAGGACAAAGAAGCATGATAAGAGGAAGCAAAGGAAGAGGAAGAGGAACAAGGCCGGTGCTGAGAAATCCATATCACTATCTTGTGATCTTTGTGATTGTTGAGTCCTATCTTTATTTCATTTTTTTTAATCGGTCGGTTCAATTTTGCGTTTTTTTATTTTTGTTTTTGTCTTTATTTCTTCTACTTATTACACGTGCTATTATTATATTTTTTTGTGGTTACTTTTTCTCCCCTCCCGATTGTTGTATTTCAACTATAATGCTTGTGATATTTTTCATAAACTTTTTGGACATTTTTTATTTTAAAAGGTTTTCTATTTGTTTAACATTTTTGTTGTTATTTATCTGTTTTATTTTTCTAAAAATTAAATTACTAATTAATGCTTGCATCCTGTTGTTCCATTTTTTTCTCCTTTTTTGGTAAAAAAAGTAGAGAAAATAAAGAAGTAATAGATTTAGTTAAAAATAATAATTACAATAATTAAGGTAACACAACTGTAATCTCAACTATATTACGCTTCACGATTTCGTAAAGGAAATTGCGGGCTTTCAGACTTTTTTGTGGGAATAATACTTAATACATCGAATATTGACAAATAGAAAAATCTCATTGAAATCTTTTCAAGACATAAAAGTCTTCGAAAGGAATCGTATCTGAATCAAAAAGCTTTCCTTTATTTTCTTAATTGTCTCATCTGCCCCTACTATAGCCTTTGTCGCCCTTTATCATTGGATTTATAGTTGAGAGAAATTAATAAATGACGTTGCATTATTTCTGAAGTTTAAAAAAAACTACAAAATATGCCAGAAAAAATTAAAGTTTCATAAATCCAGTGTCTCAAATTACAAAAAATATATATATATATATTTTCCAAATTAAGAACAAGAATCGGTAAGTACGCCCAAATATTATACAAAAAATAAATAAAACAAAATGAACTGAGAATTCCGTGCGAAGAAGGAAGAACAAAAAGCGTATGGGTCAGGTCTCCGGGGAAGAAATTGGGACGACGCGTTTCTTGATGGGAACGGCAAAGAGGGGCTTGGCCTTGTGCAGTGTAACGCCGAAGGCCTCCTCCATGTCCAAATCCTCGGGGACGACGCCGTTTTGGAGCTCCCAGTCAAAGGAATGTAGAAGAGAGACCAACATCATGGGCACTGTCCTGAAAGCAAGCTGCATTCCCGGACAGATTCTTCGCCCGGCTCCGAACGGTGTCAGCTCGAAATCTTTGCCCTTCATGTCGATTTCACGTCCCAAAAACCTCTCCGGCTCGAACTCCGACGGGTTATCCCACACGTTCAGATCTCGTCCTATAGCCCACACGTTAACCAAGACCTGTTTCCATTACCATCAAAAAAGTTTTTTTTTGTTTAGTTGTCCGTATCATCTGAAAAATTAGTCGGCAACTCGGCATTATATATATAAGATGATTAAGATATCTCGGCAAGTACCTGAGCGTTTTTCGGTACGAGAAAATCGAAAATCTCTGTATCTGACTCTGCTTTTCGCGGTAAGAGAAATGGCGCCGGTGGATGTAAGCGTAGAGTCTCTTTCATCACTGCTTGGATATACGGAAGTTTCGGGATATCGGATTCTTGAATGACACCGTTTTTACCTATTACTCGCGTAATCTCGGCCTGAGCTTTTGCCATAGTATCTGGCCTGTGGAGTAACTCGGCCATCGCCCATTCTACCGTACTGGAGTTTGTGTCTGTACCCGCTAAAAACAAGTCCTGACACAACACACACATATATATATATATATGTATTAGATATCGACGAGAGATCAAGAAATAAATACGAAGAATTCATACAAGGTATACTTACCAGAAGCAAGTGCCTAATGTCCTTCACGCTGAGTTCCCATCCGTTTTCGAGGGCGATATCGAGAAGGGAATCCAGTACATCGGTGTTCGAAGCATCTTTCGGATCATTCCGAGACGATCTCTTCGCGATCCGAGCATCGATAAACCCTTGGAAAACCTCGAACAACCTGTCTGAACAGGACTTCATCTCTTTCCGGATACCTTGGAGATCAAGAAACCTCAAGATGGGGAAATAGTCGGCGACGTTTGGTTTTCCGGCGGCGGTCATGATGCCGATGACGAGGTCGTGGAACTCGTTGGAAGCCGTGTGGTCATAGGAGCCGAAATCGATGGAGAAGAGAGTGTTTGAGATTATATTGACGGCGGTTACGAACGATGCCCGACCAATGTCCACTGCTTCTCCTCTGTCGCGGCTGCCGTTAAGGAAGTTTACGAGTTCCCGCAACTTGTTTGTCCGTATCGGCTTTGACGCTTCGAGACGGCTCGGCGAGAAAAGATGCGCCGCCGATATTTTTCTCAGTAACCTGTAACGGTCCATTCAACTTAATGTCAAGCCGATTTCAATAAAATTATACTCATTTTCTTATAATTTTTATATCGGGTCCTTGTAATATTGATTAATTCATTTCTTATTTATCGTCTAGAATATCAGTTTTAATCTCAAAGCGTATGTGTTGTTATAATTCTTTTTTTTTTTTTGTTAAATTGTAGATTTTGGTTTAAAAATCCGAGATTTTTCCATAATTAATCCACGTCATCTCAAAGCTTCCATTAGATTTTTTTTTTTAGAATCGCGGGGGAAATGAAAAATGTGTGGCCAAAAAATATTATACGTGTCAATTTCTCTAATATTTGCCATCAATGATGGCCAGTCTACTTCACATTAAAAAGTAACCTGTAACGGTCCATTCAACTAAATGTCAAGCCGATTTCAATAAAATTATACTCATTTTCTTATAATTTTTATATCGGGTCCTTGTAATATTGATTAATTCATTTCTTATTTATCGTCTAGAATATCAGTTTTAATCTCAAAGCGTATGTGTTGTTATAATTCTTTTTTTTTTTTTGTTAAATTGTAGATTTTGGTTTAAAAATCCGAGATTTTTCCATAATTAATCCACGTCATCTCAAAGCTTCCATTAGATTTTTTTTTTTAGAATCGCGGGGGAAATGAAAAATGTGTGGCCAAAAAATATTATACGTGTCAATTTCTCTAATATTTGCCATCAATGATGGCCAGTCTACTTCACATTAAAATGAGTTACAACATGGACATGTATATTAGCTGAGATATTTTTAAAAAATCTTTCATTTTTATTGTATAAAATGTTAAAATAGTTCACGTGAAACTTGAAAATTTGTAGTTATTTTTCCGAATTTATGAATAACAATTCTTTAAAAAATATTTCGTTTATTTTAAGGAATTTATTGCTTATCATTTAATTACCTGTCATATTCAAAATATTTAACAGTTTTTTTTTTTGGTTAAATCAAAATATTTAACAGTTAAAAAACATAGAAAGACAAATATATGGTAAGTACCTCCAACGAGCCAGCGCCGGCAGCCAGACAACGGAAACATCGTGGTGACCGATGGCACGAACCGGGTCACTGAAGGTTCGACCTGACAAGGCTTGGTCATGAACCTGAAGCACCTCCTTGGCTGCTTCTGGCGAAGCCACGACCACCGTGGTTAAGGTCCCGAGCTTGAGACTCATCACGGGTCCATAAACTTTCGAGAGTTCTGCGAGCGAATGGTGGGGATTTTTTCCAACGTTGAGAATATTCCCGATGATCGGCAACCGGGGAGGACCCGGCGGAAGTGCGGCGGCTCCGATGGATCTCCGGCGAGATTTGACGGCGGCGGCGGCGAAGAGGAGGAGGCATGGAATGAGAAAGCAAGCGAGGAGGAGAAGTTGTGATACGGCGATGTCCATTGTTCCTTTTGTCCAGCGTGTTTTGGTTTCGATATCTGTATGGATTTCTTGTCTGAATTTATAGACACTTCCGCTTATATTTTATTCATATATTTCTTCACCGTACTTCACTTTACCGCAGCCGCCAACTACAACCGTCATTCTCTCATTTATATAGTTTCCCCGCATTTACGTATTTTTATTTCTCAATATATATATATATATATATATAACCACGTAATTATGAAATTTGACACACACAAAAAGCAAAACAAAAATAACTGACTCGATATATAAATAAAATTGACCATCGAGATATTATATATATAATCATATTTCTTTTTATGAATTTTGAATTCGATATATGTTTTTTCAATGAAAGTGATATTAGGCTGAAAAGAATAATAATTAGAAAATAATTTGTATTCAAAGTCGTGACAATATTGAAGCTATAATACATTGATGATGAGTAAAAGTATGAGTGACCATATTAAGGGTGGAAAACATTCATAGCTAAGGGTTAATTAACGGCAACAATGTATAAAAATTTAAAATAGTAATGACTCAAAAACATTGCATCTATACAATAAAGACGAAAGGTCAATGGTGACGGCCCAAAGAACGATGCATCCGATTTAATGGAATGCGACATAGAATTAAATACCAAAACATTAAACCAAGACCGGTTCGGTATATTCAACATTGGAAGGAAAAACAATTAGTTTATGCTTAGTTGCTGATCCACTTGACATCGTTGCAAAGATCTCCGTTGGCGGTGGTCAAGCCAATGACTTTGCCTGATCGCAACAGTTGACTTTGACTCGGTCAAATATTGATAAAACGACGCCGTTTACTACGTATTTTTTATTGGATACACTAAAATGAATGATGTGTATTATGTGCATGGTAATAGTGGGCAGTCAATAAATTCAGAAATTATTTCATATATATATATATATATATACACACACACACACAATCAGTTCCCGAAATGAAAATGGTAACTCAAAACACTAGACCAGAGGAGTATTGGTGATTTGATACATGATTTGGTGGTTATTATATTAATTATTAATTTGGATATAACCTATAAATGCCCATTTAGATTTGGCAAAAAAAATTAGAAAAAAATTGAAATCAGTAGATCTTTTTAAATAAATTTACATTGAATTTAGAATATATCAAATATATTCACATATTTATTTATAAAAAAAATTCAAATATCAGAGATATCCATACAGTTCCTTTTTATTTTTTCTAAATTCACATTCTTGTTTTAGTAATAGCTGCTTGGAAAGCTCTGAGCCGCTTGCCGAGGAAGAGGAAAAAAAAGAGTTGAAACCCAACATGGGCTTATGAGCCCAAAACACTTCCTTTCCTAAGGCCCAAATGGTTTTCTAGTCGAGAGACCAAAATAGATAAAACGATGCCGTATCCACCATGTCTGTGGGTCCCACCCTATCCGTCCAATTAAATCACGTGGATGATTGATTGATATGTTTCTTTTTTTGGTTTAAAATGTGAATTATATTAACTGTACAAAAAAAGATACAATAACCGTTTTGTTCGAAAACAAAATAAATAACCTATGATTAGTGGTATACAAAAAAACCCTTTATTGGGTAATCAATGATCTAATTTTGTAAATGACTTAATAAGAAGTAATTTCGAGATAATACCAATCTCGGAGAGAAGATGAAATAGTAGTCAGGCATCGACCAACAACAGTCAAGAAGATATTCCTTATACGTTTGTCAATCTTTAGACAAATAGTCGCTACCGTATTGGATCGGTTGCAAATAATCGTTGATTTCGTTTCCTCCATATGGCATCCACTGTAACCTGTAGTAGAGTCTTTGCAATAAGATGTCGGTTATGCGTATCTTCCTGCACAGAATCGGTAATCCATGATGCACAATCTAAGAGAATGTGCAATTGGTTTACCCAAATTCTTCTAGCAAAGAAGGACCACACCTCCAAGCTATACGCACAGCTAAAAAAGAGGTGTTCATGTGTCTCGGCTAAATTCCCACAAAGTATACAGGTGGATGAGGTTAGGAGACCCATCGGGTCAAACGGTCTCCGGTTGGCAGTCGTTCACGGCAGACTTCCCATTGTATAAATGCATGTCTCGGAGTTATCAATTTAAACCAAACATCCCCAAACGATGACACTAGTGTACTTAGCTGTCGAACTAGGTTCCAGTTTGATGTTGAGCTGAAATTTGGCTTGTAAGAACCATCAGATTGTCTCCAGAGGGGGACATCAGGTCATTTGCTATCTGATGGAGGAGATATAGTGAATAGGATAGTCTGTACCTATTGGATACGATCATTGCTAGCTCCCGGTAAGTACCATTCTCCATCCCTGCAAACTACTTTAATCGAAGCTTTCTTCGCAATACGCAGCAGTGAAGGATCATTATCCCCAACATAATCAATCAATGGGCCTAGAGGAGTCCATGGATCATGCCAGAAACTTGTCTCTTTCCCATCCCCCACCTGCAAGTTTAAGAAATTCTTGGCCGTGTCTTTAAGTGCAAGGAGTTTTCGAAGTGTCCAAGAATGTCTCGGACTTGATCGTGTATCCCAGTAGCCCCTGAGTCTCAATAGATTATGCAACAACCATGCAACCCATAAAGAACATTTCTTAAAAAATATGGACCATACCTGCTTTAGACGGAACACCACATTAGTATCATGTTGTTTCTGGATGCCAAGACCTCATTCTGTCTTAGGATAACAGATTGAGTCCCAAAAAACTCGAGTTGAGAATGATTATGCTTCAGAACGCTTCCATAGGAACTCCGAGCAAATACTATATATCAATCTTCTTGATCACGCATTTTGGGAGCATAAATACGTTGCACCATGAATGAACTAGCCCATAAATAATCAATACAATCAATTGGATCTTTCCTGCTTATAAGTAGTCCTGCTTGAAACCCTGCCTAGATGATTGATTGGTGATTGATGGATATGTTACTAGATGATTGACTGATATGTTATTCGTCGTATACATACATAACTAATGGGAGATGTGTTCGCCGTCGGTAATAAAGGCTCTTTTGGTTCGTATACTTTGTCGTGAAAATTCCAATTTCAGCAATGTAATTTTGTAATATTTGGAAATCAGTCTACTGGATGATTGATCTATTGAGTATTGCTTCTTGAAACAAAAATAACAATTCCCTATAAATTAAATAGAGGGAGTGAATTAATTTAGCACGAAAAAAAATCGAAATTTTGGTTGTAAAAAACTATGAAAACATTATATTTAACATCATTCGTTTTCTGTAAACCGAGTTATGTAATAATATGTTAAAAGTTTTTATAACGTATATTCCGTGTATTAATGGCAAGAAATAATAACAGATGCTTTTCCTATATATATATACATGTTTTTTTTTATGCCATTGTAAAATTGTAAGTATAATTGTTTGTATATATAAGAGTTTTTTAAAATCCAATTTATAGTAGAATTATTAATATTATTATTAATTAAGTATTATTAACCCAACGCACAATGCAATGCCGTGGATGAACGTTTAATCTTTCCGTTATGCTTGTACCTAGTGGTTTAATTGTTCGCCGTATTCTCATGGTTCGTGTACTTTTACCATTGTTATACAATTGTGACCGAGTATGAAATAAATCGAGAATCATTGTAATGATATTTTGCTTATAAACTCTGAATTCGATGAGAAATTTAACGAGTTTTATATTTGACTAGAAAGAATAATCTTTAAAAATACTTGAATTCGAAGCGGTTTATCAGATGATGAGTACAAATATGATTGACAATATGGATGGATACGCATTCATGTCAAAGGGTTGGCGACAACAACGTAAGATTAACGAGACAAAATATGACCTAAAATATTGCGTGCATATATATATACACACACACAACAAAGATGAAAGTTCGATGGTGCCGGTCCAAGTACGAGATCGCCCTTTTATTGGAACCAGGAGGAAATTTGCTTCGAAAGTGCCAATTTTAGAGACTTTATTACCCGATCGCACCAGTTGAGTTTGACCCGGTTAAAATCTTGATCATTGACCCATAGAAACGTTACGGTTATATATATTGCATATATATTCTATTGGTTATTTTCATTTCTCAATCGATTTCTATAACCATCCGTTTCTTTTACAAAATTATCCAATGCTTTTGACGTTTATTATTATACCCAACACAACTGAGAATTTAATGACAAATTAGTACAATCATACAACAAATAATCTGAAACCTATTTTATTCGTGTGTGTCATGGAGATTATACATGGAACAAAACGTGTACGGTCAGATCTGAGAAACGTCACGTTTCTTGACGGGAACGGCATAGAGCGGGTTGGCCTTATGCAAAGTAACGCCGAAGGCCTCGTCCATGTCCAAGTGGTCCGAGACGACGCCGTTTTGGAGTTTCCAGTCGAAGGAATGGAGGAGAGAAGCAAGCACCAGAGGCACTGTCTTAAGAGCAAGAGGCATCCCCGGACATATCCTTCGTCCGGCTCCGAACGGCGTCAGCTCGAAATCCTTGCCCTTCATGTCCGTTTCTCTCTCCAAGAACCTCTCCGGCTCGAACTTCATCGGATTCTCCCACACGTTCGGATCTCTTCCTATCGCCCACACATTAATCAAAACCTGTTTCCACAGAAGAGGGTCTGAAATATTATAACACAGTCCGTGTTATATTAATTTGAATGTCGTAATGCATTATAATAGTACTTGAGCGTTCTTAGGCACGAGGAAACCGAGAATTTGAACGTCGGACTCTGCTTTGCGAGGGATGAGAAGAGGGGCCGGCGGGTGCAAGCGGAAAGTCTCTTTCACCACTGCTTGCAAGTACGGAAGCTTTGCTATGTCCGATTCTTGAACGATTTCGTGTTCTCCAATCATTCGTCTGATCTCCTCCTGGGCCCTTTATTTCAATTTTATGTATATGTATATGGTATTAGCGGGCAGTGAATAAATTCAGAAACTGCTTTAGATGCGTTCACAGTCTTTTTGGTATAATACAAAACTCCATATATGTAATATGTGATGAATAATAATATTACCTGTGCTTTCTTGGGCACATGGAAGTCGAAAATCTGGACGTCGGACTCTGCTTTCCGTGGCAGGAGAAACGGGACGGGCGGATGCAAACGCAGAGTCTCTTTTATGATGGCATGTAAGTATGGGAAATTTGGGATATCGGATTCTTGGACGACACCTTTTGGATCGATAACTCGAGCAATCTCTGCCTGAGCCTTTGCCATCACTTTCGGGTTCCGGAGTAATTCCACCATTGCCCACTCCACCGTACTAGAGCTCGTGTCCGTACCCGCTAAAAACATGTCCTGAGACACACACACACACAAAACAAGCTGTTTAGATGTGTATTATGACAAGACCTGGACATGTGTTATACATGTTTACGTAGACATACGAGGAGGAAGTGTTTGACATCTTTCAGGCCGAGTTCCGATTTATCTCCTTGGGCAAGATCGAGAAGAGAATCCAGCAGATCAACGCTCGAACCGTCTTTACGTCCTGCATGAGTCAATCTTTTGGCGATCCGAGCGTCGATAAACCCCTGGAAAACCCTAAAGAGACGCTCTGTACATGCTTTGATCTCTTTACGGCTACCTTGCAGATCAAGAAACCCTAGAAACGGGAAAAAATCCGCGATGTTGGGCTTCCCGGCAACTTCCATGATACGGACAGCAGCATCTTGGTACTCGTAAGATATTTTCGAGTCGTAACCAGCGAAATCAACGGAGAACAATATGTTAGAGATGATGTTAAGGGAAGTGACGAAGGTCGAGCGAGCAATGTCTACAGCTTCTCCTCTGCTGCAGCTTTCGCCGAGGAAGCCGAGAAGTTCCCGCAGCTTGTTCATCCGTAGGGGCTTTGTCGCTTCAAGGCGCTGCGGCGAGAAAAGCTGCGTCGCCAATATTTTCCTCAGCTGCCTGGCAACGGTTCATAGAAATACACGTCTTGGTTATTTTGATTTTTTGTTTTATATGATACTGTGGATTATGAATGATTTGATTTAATTTTGTAAAAACTATATATTTGATGTTATTGTAAGTGAATATGATTTCATAGTCTGCGGAAAAAGGTAACCAGGTGAAAGATATAAAATATTTCCTCGTCGTATGGGACTGAGGAAGTGAATGATCGTGACAACTTCAAATAAAATAGGAAATATCCTTCACTTTGCATATATATATATATACATATATATTGAGGTAGATTTTCTAATTGGTTTACTGACGTACTGTAATATTTAGTTGAAAAGATTATTAAGTTAATTAAAAAGTTTTTCAAACTATATTGAGAAACCATAAAATCAAGATTTTCATAATTCATGTTGAATAGATACATTTTTTTTTTGGTAAAACAGCACGTAAAATGATTTTTTTCTTCTCTCTTGTTAACTCTCTTTTAGTTTATGTAACTCCCATCGTGTCGAAGCTTTCATTTTTTTTTTCAGAGAATGAAAAAAAAATACATACCTCCAATGAGCCGAAGCCGGTAACCAGACAACGGAAACGTCGTGGTGACCGATGGCTCGAACCGGGTCGCTGGGGGTTCGACCCGACAAGACCTGGTCATGGACCTGAAGCACCTCTTTTGCTGCTTCCGGTGAGCTCACGACCACTGTGGTTAAATTCCCGAGCTTAAGACTCATCACGGGTCCATAAGTTTTGGAGAGGTCAGCGAGAGAATGGTGTGGATTTTTCCCGACGTCCAGAATGTTTCCGATGACCGGAAAACGAGGAGGACCTGGTGGAAGTGCGGCGGATCTCCGCCGGGATTTGGCGGAGGCGAAGAGGAGGAGAAATGGCAAGAGAAAGCAAGCGAGGAGGAGAATTTGTGAAGAGGAGATATCCATATTGGCGAAGGTTGTGTCACGTGTTAGGGCTTTTGCATGCATGGTTTGATCTTGGCTACGTACGCGTTGTGTATATATAGGCACGTTCACGTTACGGATGGCGAAACGCTGGTCAAATTATCGGCGTGGTTGGCGTCATCGGCACGTTGAAACGCTCAAAACGCTGAATTTTTAAAGATGAAAGAAACAAAACAGTGGCTTTCTTTTCTTCATCGAAAAGATAAACATTTTGGTAACTGACGTTTTGCTTTGGACGCCTGTAAAAGTGCGGCGTTACCCCCCAGCGTTTGTGGTTGGCGATTTAAAAATAATAATATAAACAAACCCTTTCTTTTTTACTAATTAATTTTTTAAAAATCATTTATATCTGTTTCATTTAGTGGAGATTTCTTCAGGTGTTGGTTGGGCTCAATTCCATTATATTTGATTTTAAAAAAAACTATAAGTCGTTTGATTTTTATATTGAATTCGATTCGATTATAATGAAATATTCATTTTTAAACAGAAATACAGAATTTCGGGTATTTTTTATGTTCCATTTGGATTTGGATTCAGTTTTTCGGTTTTATATCTAATTCGGTTCTATTATAATTATATATTATTCGATTCCGATTGGTTCGGTCATTAACCAAATAAATCACCCATAATTTCGTTTTCCCTTATTTTATTCGGTTATTTATTTATTTTACACACAAGTAACTTAGTTTAAAGTCAGCTAAAATATTATTAAAGGTTAAATGGGATGATGGTCTCGCATATTTTTCGAACACAAAAGATTTAATTTAATTAATATATAGACTAGCTGCTAATTAATCTTTGTTAATTAATTAACCATCGCTTTGTCCACCAAAATCACCCAGCCCGAATGTGACCTGAACGATGCGGCAGTTCGTTCAAACTTTTTTTGTTCCGTATTCTAACAAGTCACGACTTTAAAATGTCTGGCAAAGACAGTGCCACATCGACTTGGAACAGGTCATTGGCTAAGTAATTTGTAACAATCTCATGCCACCTAAACCCTAAACTCAAAAAAATACGATAACCGTTGACTTTTCTAACCAAAAGATTTTCCTAGCCGATGTAGATATAACGTAACCAAGGAAATCAACGGGAAAACGAGGAGGAAGGAAGAAAAGGAATCACCACACTAACCAACCGCCCATTAAAAAAATTAGGTACAAAAAATTTGTAAACCATTAGCAGAGGAATTAATGGCACAAAGGCTCAGGGTCAACGGTCATGGTCGTGGTCCGTGGAATAAATCAACCGTTGACTTTGACTTTGAGAGGTTTTTGTTACCGTTCTTGATTCCATCCATTCGGAATTTTTCATACCTTCATCCATTTTAATCCAAACCAAACCGTATAAAATAAATAGAGGTGAGCGTTTCGGTACGGTTTTTCGGAATCGAATCGAAAATACGGTATTTTTTCGATCTAAAGCATCCAAAATTTTCGAATAGTATTATTTTTAGAAAACCGAATTTCAGATAAACGAACCAAACTGAATTTTAAAAAAATATGAAAAGCCGAATTTTTTTTTAAAAAGATTTAAATTCTTTAATAAAAAGTAGAATCAAACCGAATATGATATAATAACTGATTGATATATATTTTTATAAAACCAAAAGAACTAAACCATTCTCGAATCGAATTTGAACCGAATACCAAAACGATCACCCCTAATACAAAACATAACTTAGCCATGTTTGAAATAAAACCGAATCAAACAAATCTAGTCTTATTCCGATTCGATTTTTGTTTTGTTTTCTTTCTACCAAGAATATTATGGATCAAAACACAAATCTGATAAAACGTAAACCAGGTCCTAAGTGTTTTTTTTTATCTAGTAGTTTGAAAAAAATAAACAAGTAATTCTTCATATATTATTAAGTTTTATATCGTTTTACCGTAATTTTGTTCATCTGAAATGTTATTGGACTTTGTTACAATTCCCGTAAAACGTTTTCTATTTATAATCATAATCCCATTCCTGTCGATTACTCTAAAACATTATATTCCTCTCTACGTGTTACACACTCATAACTTCATACATACACACACATGTATATATACGCGCATACATATTTGCATGTGTGTCTTAAACGGATCCAACGACTCTTTTCGTTTTCACACCAAAGAGGACTAAAGCCTAAATGATTTTAGTTAGTGGCGAAAATATTTATATTATTTCCAGAATTAGATTGAGAATGGTACCTCAAAAAATATATATTTTTTGGTAATGAAAAGAACAATCACGATTCTTCAGATGTAGATGTAGAGTAAACCTACCCGTCTCATGCAATAGTTTACAAATCACGTGAAACATGTAAACTAATTGAAGGGAAACTTATACTCTTGAAGAATTGAAGTCATGACCTCCCATTAAAAGACATGCATGTGCTCTCAACCATACCTCAAAATATTTAACCATAGCAGTCTTGGTTATTTCATACGTGATTTCGGTGGTTATATTATTTACAAAGTGGTTTAAAGCCCTTTATATAGATGTTTTGTATGTATGTATGCATTATTATTCAATGGCACGTCACATTTAAGTTTCTTTGGCATAATATTACTTTGGATATAACATAAATTAATGCCCATTTAGATACAAAGAAAGGCGAGAGAAAAAATCGAAATCCGTAGACTTTTTCTTTAGTTTAGAGTTTAAATATTTAGAAGATATCAAATATATTTAGGAGTGTCAATAGAACCCGAAGTCCGAAGTCCGGTCCGAAACCCGCCTAAAAAATTAAAGACTTTGGCCTAATAATATAGGCCCGGTAAATAAATGGGTGGGCCGGCCCGGCCCGAAAAAAGTTATGGCCGAATGGATTCCGGTCCAAACCCGCCCGGCCCATCTATTTAGTCCGAAAAAATATTATATTATTAGATTTTTACTTTCATTTGAGATTTAATACCACATAACATTATATAAAAAATTTTATTTGTATGTTATATATATATTTTTATATTTCAAAACGATTTGATTAATATATATTAAACTTATATTATATACATATATATATATATATTATTAAACAGTTTGATTATATTTTGATTTAATTAATTTATATATATATATATATATATTATGAGTTTAATTTTGATTTTTAAATTCTATTCTCTATACTTTTTATTGTGCCGAATATATTTTTCATATATTATATATATTAAAAATATTATATATATTAAAAATATTATATAATATATATTTTAAATTTTACATGATTATTTTTTAGATTTTAATTTTTTTAATTATAATCGATATAGACGAAAATTTGCTATTGTTTTTTTTAAATTGTTAAATTATTATTATTATTATTATATATTAATATTTATTTTTTATTAAATAGAAAAAACCTGAAACCCGGCCCGAACCCGCCCGAAATCCTATAGGGTCGGGCTCCAGGCCATCGATCATAGATCCGAAAAATAAATGGGCGGGCCGGCCCGACCCGAAAAAATCGAAGCCCGAACTAAACCCGACCCGAATTCGGTCCGGCCCGCCCATTTTACACCCCTAAATATATTCATATATTTATTTATTTATTTATAAATGTTTTTTCATTGTAATTTTATAGATATTCAAACAGTTTCTTTCCTCTAGATTCACACTGGTTAATGTCCTGGACGTTCTTGCCCAACATGGGGCCGAAAACCCATCCTTTCCCTAGGCCTAATTAGTTCTCTTGTCGTGAGGCCCAATAGAAAAACAGAGTTCAAATCTTTCTGACACTTGTCGCGGATTTCGAATCCTCTTTCCGTCGATTTTTTTTTCCCCTGCGGATTGAGCAAAGAATAGTCACTTGTGAGACGAGAATCGGGGGTACGCTTGTGCTTGCGTTTGCCTTTCTCGATCCGAACCTATTTTTTCTTCTAGATCTCTAGGATCTATGATCGATCGGTTCGAGTTTTCCGCTGAATCCTTGTAATGACTGCAGGAAAACGGGGCTGATTTCCGGAATTTTATTCGGTCTGATCTCAGACGTCGCTATAATGGCTGGTTGGAGTCGCATGATGAGGCGCCGCACCTCCAAGCGAGTCACAAAGGTTTTTGAGGAATTTTCTTGTGCCTGATTTTTCGCGTCTCATTTGCTGAATTTGAATTTCTGAGTTCAGCCTGTTGTTTTTTAGTAATGTAAGATCCGTGTTAGCTTTTCTCCCCGATTCACCAGCAGATGGTTTTCTGCAACTAGAGGTTATGATTGTTTGGCGACATTGGATTCCTCGTGATTATACTGGAAAGTTTGTCTGGCCTTGGAAATCACTACTGAGAAAATAGTTTATTACATTGTCTCTAGAGATCACTAATTGGAAATCATTGTAACTTGGAGCTTGAGCTCTCAAGTCTCAAACGCTTGGTTGCTGTTGGAGTCACAGAAAATTCAGTTGAGCATATATCCTCTCACCCGACACCAAATTGTTGGTTGATAAGAGAAAGGGTCTTGGAGGGTTTCGTGTTCCTTGTTTTGGTTCCGCATAGTGGTCAGTGGGGCATAAGCTAATCATTTCTTCACTTTTCGTCATTTAGACAATAGACATTCGTTTGGATGTTTGTTTGTCGGATCGTTTTCTTTTCACTTGTTCAGATTGGCTGCTAGAACTGTCGCGTCTCTCATGGTTTTAGCTATTTCGTGGCTTGTGGTAATGGTACAATCTTTCAGCTTCCTGAGATGATGTATAGTGGACTCTCCGTCCATTTTCTTCTGGCAGGCTGTTGATATGAAACTTCTAGGGTCGCTTAGCAGAGGTGATCTGAAGAAATATGTAGTGATAATTTTCCATAATGGATATTGCTTTCCGGCCTTTGAGCAGGTATTGTATCACGTGATATATCTTTGATAAAATGTTCGTCTTGCAACATTTTTGGCCCTTGTATATGACATGCTTGAGTTATAAAGATATGCAATGTAATAGACTTCACCTTCAAGTACTCATAACAGAGTATATCGGTTATGGTGTCTTCCTTTTAGGTGGACTTAATGGTTTCTTATCTCTTTCCTGGTTCTTGCGTGTATGAATTCCCAGTTCTGTTTATTCCTTCACGTTTTCAGGGGATAACCAATATACCTAACTATGAAACCTGTTTGATGTTGCCATTGCCTTATCCAGGTTAAATGGCTGAATAAACTACTGAACAAGATCAAGATGTGGCCATATGTTTCAGAGGTGAGAATGTCAAATCCTCTACATTGTTTTCTGGTGTAGAAGTTCAAGTTGCCAGTCTCTAAGATATGCACCCTGAATGGGAGAAGTTAGAGTTTCTATTAATTGTTTGCTTTAATGAGATCCGCGTGATTTTTGTTTATCCTGGACGTGTAAGGGTAGTAAGATGTTTTCCTTGGCCGCTGCAGAAATCTAGTGTCCAATCCAGACACCTTACTTAACCAGGCTTACTAATCCTTGAGTTAACAAATGAAATCACTCGTCAGAAAGCAGTTTTTGCGTGCTGAAAAGTTTTAAGCTTTGTGTTATTCTGTGGACTTATTTACTTGCAGCAACTATGGTGTGATTAGAGAATCTGTTGAAACAAACCGTTGCTGGAAGAATACAGACCTTCAGCTTTTACTTCACTGAAGTTTAGCAAATTGACTCTGGGAAATGTAGCACCAAAGATTGAATGTACCCTTATGTGGAGAGCCTATATCTTAAGGTATTTTACTTTATACATTACATCCAGTCCAGATGTTGGATAAACTGCAGGTTGTTTTTAGGCTCTCTTCCATTTTGTTTCAACCTCACATTTCCCCTTCCATCATCTCTCTGTAACTACGAAGTTCTATCATCTCTAGTTAAGGTTATCTATGCCACAAGCATCATATGTACATGCATGCAAAATTACTTGCTGCTGTTGCAGGTAATCCGCGTTCGAAGTCTCTAGGAAGGTCAAATCAGAGAGGACATTGATCTTCGATGGGGGTGGTAATCCAAGCATCATTTTAGGCGATACAGCACTGGAGATAATTTAAATTCCTTACACTGCATTTTCTCCAAAATTAGAAGATTAACCCATCTCACCAAAGAGTTTTTTTTCTTTTTCTGCTGGCTCAAACAGTTGAAGGATCTACAAGTATTCACAGTTGTCCGTGTTATCTTTCAAATTGCCGAGGAGATTCCTTGCATTTCTGCTGTTGTTGTTGCTCTACTTGCCTGAGGTACGGTACATTTGCGTTTGAATGATCCACAATCATATGCTTTTTTCCATCTTTTAAATGGCGACCTGTTTTTTATAAAGATGTAGGCCAAAGACTAGCGTTTGTGGAAGTATTTTTTTTTTTTTTTTTGTAGTTTACTTCCTTGTACAAAGCTTGTAAAAAGCATGAGTAACTGTGGTTAAGGGGCACTAACTCTAGTTTGTATTTTGTGTGTGTGTGTGTGTGTGTGTTCCCTTAGTCGGGGTTCGTGAATGATTTGTATGGGTGAGAGAATCTCCAGTCGGCTGCCAAGTGAAGTCTCTCGCCGTGTTTCCATCATATGGGTGGCTCTTTCATCATCACTCTATCATATGTAGTTGAAGACAGTTCGGACCTTGGAAATGTAACCACACTCCCCCGACAAGGCATGGCCAGTTTTTGATGTCTCGTGCTCGGTTGTGTAGCAGCGAGAGTTTGGATTATCCCCCCCTTTTTTGCATATTTTTATAGTTTTTTTTTAAAACAGTGGGACCCACTTCTCTTCTAAAAAAACCTCAGCTTCTCTCTCCCTCCCGCACCCTTATAGATTCCCTTTGCGATGATGTTCCCAAGTCAAAGTCCACGTATCATAATTACCACTTTACCCTTGGTATTCTTACTTCAAATAGCACGTGCAATGGTGTGCCACGTACATTCCCACTGTAAAAGGGGTATCTAATTTGCACGAGAATCTACATCTTTGACATTTTCAAAGCTAATTAGTCTCTCTGACATCACATAATCAAATTATTTTCTCCACCCAAATTGTAGAGAGGGAGGATGTACTGTACTTTAAATCGGTTAGAGGGCATTTTGGTCCAAACACAAAATTGGGGAAAAAAACCCTCTGACGGAAATCTCAGAGCAAAAATAAAGCCAACGCAAAAGGTCAAACCCTGGACCGATATGCCCTCGCTTCGTTGACGTCGACCCCTCCTTTTGTGACTTACGCTCGTCACTTGCAAACTTAACGTCCGAAAAAAACAAAACACTCGCAACCCAACAAAAGAGAATAGGTGTCCACGCGTATTCCTCACGCGCGCTCTATGGAGATTGGGACTTCCCACAGTGGGTCCCCCTCAGAAGAGCTTACAAATCCGAAACCACGTCAGCTCCCACGCGCCCACGCGCGTTTTATCTGAGTGTTCATAAAACCCCACTTCACTTACTATCTCATCGGTCTCCGCTTAACGACACGCGACAATTAATTTCCCGTCACATGACTGTCACTTTTCCTGTCAGCATCCTCCATCTGTCCTTTTGACACGTCACCATATTAAAATAACCTTCCTGTCACTCAAGCACCCCCCCATCTCGTCCATATTATATTGCAAAATACCAAATCGAAAAAAAAAAAATATACAAGTGATTTACTCTCCACCTACAAAAGCAGTGAGGAAATTTAATTCTTCAGTTAGGAGTTACCGTCATCCATGTAAGCCCCCTGATTTTAATAATCCTCTCCCTTACTTGTAATATTTACCAAAATGCCCTCCCGCCATTCGCCGCCGTCACCGGCGCATTCCGACCACCGCCACTCCCACGTCCTCCCTCCTGTCATCGCCGGATCTCTGGCGTTCGCGGTGGTTCTGCTCGTCTTCTTCACTATTCTTCTCTACCGGAAGTTCTACAGGAACCGTACGGCTCCTTCGGATCTCATATCTAAGTCGCCTGAGAGCTACCAATGCCGCCGCTTCTCGTATTCCCAGCTCCGCCGCGCCACTAGCTCTTTCTCCGCCTCGAACCAGCTCGGCCATGGCGGTTTCGGGTCTGTGTATAAGGCTGTGCTTCCGAGTGGGGACTCGCTCGCCGTCAAGGTCATGAATTCCTCCGTCGGGTCCCTTCAAGGCGAACGCGAGTTCCACAACGAGCTATCGCTCTCTTCTCACCTCGTCGGTTCGCCTCACGTCGTCTCTCTCATCGGCTTCTCCTCCGACCACCGTGGTCGCCGGCTCATTCTCGTCTACGAGCTCATGGCTAATCGCAGCTTGCAAGACGCACTTTTGGATCGCAAATGCGAGGAGCTGATGGACTGGAGCAAGCGATTTGAGATTGCCACCGACATCGCCAAGGGCATCGAGTTCCTTCACCACTGCTGCGATCCACCCATCATCCATGGGGATGTCAAGCCCAGTAATATCCTGATTGATTCAGATTTCAAAGCCAAAATCGGAGATTTTGGTCTGGCGAGGCTGAAATCCGAGGATTTTACTAACAGTAACGACACTACTATTCGTATACAGGAAGAGGAAAAGGTGAAGGATTGTACGGAAGACAATGGATCGATCTTGGAGGAAACAGACAGTGTGATTACTGGGTACGAAGAGAGTAGTGTTGTCGTAAATGTCGTGGATCGATCGCCGGAAAATTGTGCGATAAGCGTCCTGGATGCGGGACCATCTCCGGAGACCACCTCGGGCTTATCGCCCGAGGTGGGTTTGGAAAAGGGGAGTGTTTCGGAGAGTTATTTCGATACGATGAGTGTTGATAGCAACAAGGATTTGGTTCTCAACAATGGCGGAGGTAAGCAAAAGGTTGGTTCAAGGAGAGATTGGTGGTGGAAACAGGACAGCAATGGCGGAGGTGGGGCTGAATCTGGGAGGGTGAAGGACTACGTGATGGAATGGATCGGAAGCGAGATAAAGAAAGAGAGACCCAACAAAGGATGGATCGAAACGGGTGATGGGTCGGTCACCGAAACCGAGCAGAAGAAGGAACGGGTAAAGAGGAAAGAGAAAAAGAGAAAGCCCAGAGAATGGTGGAAAGAAGAGTTCTGCGACGAACTTACCAGAAAAAAGAGAAACAGGAAGAAGAAGAAAAGAGGCCTCCGTTCAATCTCTAGCATCGACTCGTGGTTTCACAGAGACGAAGAAGCTTCGGCTCACGAACATAATCATCCTCACAAGAGGAAGAAGAGGAATAGCATAGATTGGTGGCTCGATGGATTCAGCGGCGAGCTAAGATCCGTCATTGGAAGAAGAAACAGCCAAGATTCTGGTCTCTGGTTCGATCCGAACATTCCCAAGAGCGGCGGAGTCAGCAGCACGCCGAGCATGAGAGGCACGGTCTGCTACATTGCTCCCGAGTGCGGCGGCGGCGGCGTATTGTCGGAAAAGTGCGACGTCTACAGTTTCGGAGTTCTGCTTCTGGTTCTGGTCTCCGGAAGGCGGCCATTACAAGTAACGGCATCGCCCATGTCGGAGTTCGAGAGGGCCAATTTGATATCATGGGCAAGACAGTTGGCGTGTAACGGAAAGCTACTGGACTTAGTGGACAAGTCTATACATTCACTGGACAAAGAACAAGCCCTTCTCTGTACCACCATTGCATTGCTCTGTCTGCAGAGATCTCCATTGAAGCGGCCGACAATGAAGCAGATCGTCCAGATGCTTTCAGGTTCGGCCGAGCCGCCGAGTTTGCCGTTTGAGTTCTCGCCCTCGCCGCCGATGGGATTCCCGTTCAAGTCGAGGAAAAAGGCTCGGTGAATTCCTTCACGTTTTGATTTCGATTCTGACATCCAATTGTAGATTTGTTTGCTCACTTCATCATATCCTTGAACCAAGTACCTCAATGTAAAATATTGGAATTCGGAGTTAGGCTTAGAATAGATTGCAATGAAGATTGTTTTTTTGTTATCTTTTATGGCAACAGTCGGAGTATATGAATCTTGGACTTTTGCCATAGGGCTATATAGGTTGGACGATTTATTCGGCTACAGTTCATTTGGCTTCCGGTTATTTTAAATCTGGGATTCGGTTATTTCAAAATTTCAAAATTCATGATCAAACGGTTATTTAATTTTAATGGGTTTGATTATGGTTCGATTATATCTATTTAAAATTTTAACCAAATAAATGAAACAAAATTTGAAAAATTATTAAAGATTTTTTTTTAAAAAAACCTCATTTTAATTATACACTATAACTATAAGATAATTTCATTATACTAATTTATCTACATATATAACATATCGGTATACATGGGTTAATAAGTAGATATATTCGCTTTATTTGATTACGGTTAAATCGAAATCAGCTTATTCGATATATGGTTAATTCATATTCATTTATTTTAAATTTTAAAAATTTATAACCAAAATGATTATTTAATTTCAATCGATCCGATTCGGATATAAATTGATCGAATTCGGTTTGGTTTTTAAAAAACCGAACAGTTTATCCACCGCTAGGCCTATACGAGCTCTAAATAGTATAGCAAGCTATATACTATATGGAAAGGTGGCAGGTAAATCCTTGTGTACCTTAGTATTGATACATTGTAAAAAAAAATGATACAAGGGATAAAAGTAGGTAGACAACACATAAGATATTGTCTCTATGCAGATATACTAATTTTTATTTGGTTAAAATTTTAAATAGATATAATCGAAATGGAGCGTTTATTGTGTGGACCCCACCATCAACTATTTTTCTATATGTATATGTATATATATATATATGTGTGTGTATGTATATAAGAGGATTGAACACGTAAAGTTGGATATCTAATCTCTGTCTCCGGCATCAATGGCGGCCCAACCTGAAAGCGATCCCTTCAAAATCCTCAACATCGCCCTAAACCCAGATGGATCTCTCACCAGACTCCGCGAATTCCCCAAATTGCCCGCGTCGGAGCATCCCGACCAACTCTGTCTCTCCAAAGACGTCATTCTCAATCCGAACAACAAAACCTTCATCCGCATCTTCAGGCCCCGGAATCTCCCGCCGGAGATCAAGATCCCGGTGATCGTCTACGTACACGGCGGCGGATTCATCCTCTTCAGCGCCGCCTCCGGGCCGTTCCATGAATCATGCAGTCGCATGGCCGATCGGCTTCAGGCTGTCTTCCTCTCCGTCGAGTACCGTCTCGCTCCCGAGCACCGACTCCCGGCGGCGTACGAAGACGCCGTCGAAGCGATCTCGTGGCTCCGGGACCAGGCTTGTGGATCCAACGGCGGCGGATGCGATCCGTGGTTAATGGACGGCGTTGATTTCTCGAGGTGTTTCCTCATGGGTTCGAGCTCCGGAGGAAACATCGTCTACAACGCGGCGTTACGACTCGTGGACGCCGATCTGAGCCCACTGGTGATCCAGGGGCTGATAATGAACCAGGCGTTCTTCGGCGGCGTGGAGCCGTCGGATTCGGAGACACGGCTGATCAACGACAGGATCTGTCCGCTGGCGGCGACTCATCTCATGTGGTCGCTCGCGCTGCCGGAGGGGGCCGGCCGCGACCACGAGTACAGCAACCCGGTGGGGAGCGGTGGGACCCAGGAGAAGATCGGTCGGCTGCCGAGGAGTCTGGTGAAAGGGTACGGTGGAGATCCACTGGTGGATCGTCAGAAGATACTGGCCGACATGCTGGAGGCGCGTGGAGTGCACGTGGTGAGAAGGTTCGAAGAGGACGGGTTCCATGCCTGCGAGCTCTTCGACCGGACCAAGGCCGAGGCTCTTTACGTCGACGTCGAGGAATTTATAAAGTCTTCGGGGACGGCCGCTTCGAACATGTAGTTCACGTGCCGTCTTTGGTGTCTGGACTATGAAATGTGGGAAGAATAAGTTGTGGTATGATTATGCCTTCGTATTCCGTCTTTATTATAAATCCGAGTAAATAAAATTTCCCACCATTCATCAAATGTCACTCTTTAATAACACTACATGTTTTTCATTCTAAGATCGTTACAAAAAAATTGATGAAAGTGTCATTCATGATAAAATAAAAACAGTGACAAATTTTATCTTGAAATCATAATTATTCAGTTCAGATCCTCAAAACATTCAAAAAGCTACAATACAATAATTGCGGCAAAGCTCGTAATATAAATCATCAAGTGAAAAAAAATCCGTTCCCAATCATCAATTACTACAGCTTTAATTAGTTAATTAGGGCATTAAAAGACACGATCTCTTATTAAACCGAATATATTCATAACACATTAAATAAATTTTTTTAAAAAAATATTTGATCTGGTCAAAACAAAATTGCAAATGCCCCAAAAAATAAGGAGCTTTAAACGGAAACGGCCCACGATAATTTCGTTTATTCATCCTAATCACAACTCAACCTCTCCCAAAAAAAAAAACTGACGATTTATTGATCTTATCCCCACCAGGAATCTCCAACTTCTGTAATTGCAACACCGTACCTTACTTAACATGTCTGGTCCGGGGGAGGCGTTCGATCCATACAAACACCTGAACATAACGATCAACGACGACGGAACATGCACGCGCCACTTCAACGTACCGGACGTGGAGCCAGACCCCGGCCCCAGCCCCGGCATGCCCACCGCCTCTAAAGACGTCACCGTCAACCACCAGACTGGCGTGACCGTACGAATATTCCGACCGACCAATCTCCCTTCCAACGACAACACCGTGGCTCGGCTCCCCATTATCCTCCACTTCCATGGCTCGGGATGGGTCCTCTTCTCCTCCAACAGCGTCTCCAACCACGCTTCTTGTTCCCAGATGGCCAGCGAGTTAACGGTCATTCTCGTCTCCGTCAGTTACCGTTTGGCCCCCGAGCACAGACTCCCCGCTCCGTACGACGACGCTTTGGACGCTCTCCTCTGGGTCAAACAACAAGCCGTCGACCCGAACGGCGAGCCATGGCTCAGGGACTACGCCGACTTCTCGCGATGCTATGTCTACGGTTCGAGTAACGGCGCCAACATCGCCTTCCACGTGGCCCTCCGAGCTCTGGACCACGTCTTGACGCCGTTAAAGATCGACGGATGCGTGTTTTATCAGCCGTTGCTTGGCGGGGAGACGAGGACTAAGTCCGAGCTTAGACATTTCGCCGATCCGGTGATGCCCGTGCCCGCCCTCGACGTAATATGGGAGCTGGCTTTGCCCAAGGGGGTGGATAGAGACCATAGGTATCGCTATTTCTTTTTTGTGTGTGTTCAGACATAAGACAGGACAAAGATCCGGGCTAACTAGTGAAACTGCGACAGATATTGTAATCCGACGGCATACTTGCCTCACAGGGAGAAGGTGGGGCGGTTGGGGCGGTGCCTGGTGATCGGTTACGGCGGAGACACGGCGGTGGACCGGCAACAGGACTTTGTAAAGATGTTAGTGACCGCCGGAGTTAAGGTAGAAGCTAGGTTTGACGACGCCGGCTTCCATGGAATCGAACTCGTCGATCCACGTCGCGTTGTCGCTCTTCTCAGTATGATCCAAGATTTTATCAATCAATGATTTTCGTCTTTACTCGATTTTATGGTGGAATCGTTCAGGTTGAAATGCGCACAATTTCTTCACGGATATTTTTTTTTTCCCAATTGAATTCCATTCTTATCTCCTTGAGTACATAATGATATATTGATCTATGTTTGGTAAAAATGTAAATATTTATTTTGTTTTTTACTGATAAAAAGTTTTTTTTTTGTTTAATTGATTTTCACCGTCTGTTTATATCTCTTTGAAATACATTATTATAATATGAATGCGTTGCTCAATTACCCGCGAGAGAGCATATCCATGGCGACCTCTGCGCTACATCGACATGATCTGCCTTGTGTCCTCGTCGTGAAAATCCCCATCGCCATGGATGTGCTCGGCGACCGATTCCTAGCCTCTACCAAGTTCCAAGTCCTCAAGGCCTTCGAATCGTCGCTTCCTCTTCCCGACTACTTGGCTGTTCACTCTCAGTCTGTCTCCGCCATTGTTGCTCCTGCTCACTGTCCCGTAACCGCCGATTTGATTCGTCTCCTCCCGTCCCTGCGCTTGGTTGTTACCACCAGCGCCGGCCTCGATCACGTTAACCTCCCCGAGTGCCGCCGTCTCGGCATCTCCGTCGCCAACGCCGGCACCGTCTTCTCCGATGATGTCGCCGACACCGCCGTCGGTCTGCTCATCGACATTCTCCGGCGGATTTCAGCCTCCAACCGTTATGTTAAGAGAGGGCTTTGGCCAATCGAAGAGAATTATGCCCACGGTTCCAGGGTATTTTCTAATTTTGGATCTTCTGCTGCTTTCGAGTGCATTTCATCCATATATATATATATATATACACATCAATAATCATCGTACTCATCGTTTTTGTTGTTCTACACATCAATACTGATCCCCTTTAGGGCATTTCCCCCATTTTATCAAACAGTATATGTGATCTATTCTGAATATTTTCAATCAGCAACATGGCACTTTCCCTTGACTTTTGTTGTTAATGGCGGATGGTTTTCAGTTAGGGGGGAAGCGTGTAGATTGTCGGATTGGGGAGCATCGGCTTGGAAGTTGCTAAAAGGCTGGAGCCCTTTGGCTGTCAAATTTCATACAGCTCAAGGAGCCAAAAGCAATCAGTTCAGTATCCTTTCTACGCAGACGTAGTGGGGCTTGCAGCGAACAACGATGCTCTTATAATCTGCTGTCCATTGACTGAGCAGACAAGGTGTTTGATCAATAAGGATGTCTTTTCGGCTCTAGGAAAGCAAGGGATAGTAGTTAACATTGCACGAGGAGGTGTCATCGATGAGAAGGAAATGGTCCGATGCTTGTTGGAGGGTGAGATTGCGGGCGCTGGTCTAGATGTGTTTGAGAATGAGCCTAATGTGCCTAAGGAGCTGTTTGAATTGGATAATGTCGTGATGTCGCCTCATTCTGCCGCCATAACGATGGACGGCCTTGAAAACTTGAGGGAAATTGTGGTTGGAAATTTGGAAGCTTTCTTCTCGGGTGAACCCCTCCTTACCCCGGTGCTCGAGGGTCAGTGACAAAACTCATTAGCCAGGTATATCTATATGTATATTGCCCATCATCTTCTTAATTGCTTGAAATCTTGGCTTCAAGCCCTTCAACCCGTATCATCAATCTGATTTCTTCCGAGGTTATGGATGAATCAATGGATAAGGACGGACGATCATTAAGGGTGATCATTGATTCTAAGAAGGAATGTAATGTTCATCCTGCCCGGTTGCCGCATTTCGACTGACTAGCTGAAGCTTATTTTACATGAAGAATCCTTTTCTCCTTGTTTTTTCTGCAGATGAAACTGTCATCAGTCTGTGTTGTTGCTCCTCAGCTAACCATATCGCCATTTCGTGGAGTATATATATAATACACGTTTGAAAGGTGTGTATGCTGTAACAGAGTTGGACCAAAAAAACAGCATGTAACTGTTTATTTCAATAGTTTGTGATAATTTAGCTTAATGTTCTCCATACAGAGTGTCGTAGTTCGTCCTGATACAACCTCACCATGAAAGGGGAAAATCACTCAAATGAGTCACTTGGGTCGCATCTATTTCACGTGTACACCACAAAAAACATAACACATTTTTTTCCTTTGAAAAGACGAAATTACCTTTAATGAATACACGATATTTATCCGTTCGAAAACAACTTCGTTATTACGACTTCGTAATTAATTCTAAATATAGTTACAATTGATTATAAAAAGGTGACAAAAAAATCATGTCTTATTTTAGTTGTATATGAGTTATATGTTAGTCGTAATAAGATCGTAAAAAATAAAACGAAAAGGGTATTTCGGACTTTTTCAATCGAAAAGTGGGTTAAAATTGAATTTTTTTTTTTCGGTGGTGTACGCTGAAAATAGCTGCGACCCAGGGTTATTTAGGTAAAAAACACCCATGAAAGTGAAGCCTGTGGGGATCTGCCACGTGTACTGATCCATATATATGGTTGCGTGTTAATTGGGCCTATGTTGGGCCGTATATCCACTACTAGTCTCTTAATGGGCTTCACATTAAGAACCTTAGTGGGCTAAGCAAGTACTTGCAATGTCATGCCCCTTTAAGCTTTAAGAACCCCAAATCTATATATATTAATAAAGGAGTTTAAAGAGATTTGGTGAGGCCACCTAAGCATCCACATCATCAATTTTTTTAATTTTTAATTGGTTTATTACAATATTCATTAACTATATATAATTAGAATAATTAGTTTTGTAATTTTTATTTCATATAACTACTAAATTGTTAGGTTTTATATTATATTATATTATTTAAAGCTCATCTTTATTATATAAAAAACCCTTTTTAATATTAGTTTTATATATTATTAAGATTTGTATTTGATAACACTTATATTTCAAATTGTATTGCTATCTTTATTTTAAAAAGGAAAGATATCAATAGATTAATACAATTAAAAAGTTCATCTTTATCATATAAAAAATCTATTTTGATAATGGTTTAATATATTATTGACATTTTTATTTGATTATATTCATATTTAAAATTTATTTATAATTCAATTTGCCTTCAAAACCATAATTATAATTCATTACATTGCAAATTATTTTTAGTGAATAAAAGTTTTTAAAAAATTATAATAACGAATGGTCAAGACTCTACATTAGCCCACTAATAACTACATTTATTATTATTATTTAATTAGTATTATTGCTGGGTATTCATTAGCCCACTAACTTTGGTTTTATTGGTTGTTATATAAGATTTTGTCACCGATAGTTTCTTTCTCATCTGAGCTTGGAATGCAGTTTGGTTCTTGCTTAGAGGATTGATGTCGATTCACATGTACTAATTTGGAGCTTATGCAATCTCTTCAGTAACATTTGATAGTTTGGTGAATGGTGTTAACCTCTATACGTCAGGTATGGACTCCTGCAATCTTCAATGGTCTTGGTAATTATTACATTCCTCAGGTTATAGAGCTACAGGTTATCCTTCAGGACATAGCCCTGGCAACATAAAATGAGAGGCTCCCCCAGGTAAATTCATCTACAATATTTTCCGCTTGTATTTACAATGTGGTTCCTATCCGGTTCATCATTTCCGCACATGCATCTACACGACATCCTTTTATTTCCTTTTTTTCACTTCTATATAAACATATGTATATATTTATGCGTAAATATATATTGTGGTGTAAGTTATATTTGAATAAATGTGTGAGAATTTAAATTGGATGGCTGATGGGAGAATAGAGAAAGCATAGAGGAAGGCTGCAAGTTTTTGGAGAAGTTACGAAAATGGTTTCTATCGGTTACTTGGAACTTGCTCTATAAGACCACTTTTGAGGGCTGTGAAAACTTATAGAAGATTTTATGCTTCTGCAATATTTTAAGTCCAGTTTCAGAACATATGTGAGATGAAACCAGTAGTCTGTGTATAGGTGTGTGTTAATGCAGTTAATATGTATATGTATTATAACGTATAGATAAAAATATATGCATCCTATATATATATATATGATAAATGTCATGTATGTAACACGTTGTCATATAATAATAATTGAAGCCAAAAAAATAACACATTGAGCCATAATCCGATTCAATAATAATAAACTAACTGTACGAAAAAAAATAAAATCCACTTATATTTTCCTCATCTTTTGTCATTGAAAACTAAAAACTAAAATCTTACAACTGTCTTTTTTTGCATCGTATATTTTCACATATAAATTATATGACTCAAAGTATCTTTTTATGCGAAATGTTCACAAAGTTTACGTGTAAAGGACTTCTGAAAAATGATTGATACAATCACAATCGTTCTAATCACAATAAAACGTTAAGATTCAAATCGTAACGATTGAGTTTTACAACGTTTGATATATACATATACTAATTATATACATACATATATGTAAATATATAAACAAATGCAAGTACATATATACATCCACATATAAATACAAATATATACACATATATACACATACATAAAATATACAAATACATACACATATATACATACATACATACATACATACATATAAATACAAATATATACACATATAAATACAAATAAATATTCCACTAATTTATGTATGAAAAATATGTTTATTTTTAAGATTAGTTGATTCCAAAAAAAAAAAATTAGATGCCGCATATTCTAAAATTTTGGTGTTTTTCTCAAATTTTATTGGTTTATAAAAAATCTTATTAATTAAAAATAATCAATAATTTATTATAATTGCAAAATAAAATACAATCATACCAAAAATTATTGTGGTTATTTATTAGTCCATTGATAAACGGTGGAATAGTCTATTAACGAATACAATTATTTTGGAGTAAATGAAAGTTATTGTAACTTTGGATTACTTAGGACAGTTAAAAACTAAAATACAAAACATCTATGATGGTTTGTTAGCCCAGTAATGCAAAAAAAAAAACGTGAATAAGCGTATTCATTTGCAAATACAAGTGTCTCTACTATATAACGGAACCGACAACTTCTCTCATGTCAAAACTTAACGTAGAAATTGGCTAAAGATGATGAAAGTGATTTCACTCTCTCTAAAAACAAATTTTCAACCAACCCTTCAACACAATCAAACGAAGAGACCCTTCAACAATTTCAGCCCAACCTCATCTCGGTTTTTTCGACCAATTCCCAGAAAAACCCTCCGAAACCTCTCGCCGATCCGTCGGCGAATTAGCAAACCCACTCGACACTAGACGCCCACACACTGCCGGTCGTCATGGTGGGGTCGGCCAATGCCGACAACTATGTGGAGATTGAGATACTGCCAAAAGAAGGGCAGACGATCTCGACGAGGATAGGAAATACCTTCGACAGCGGAAAAAGTCGCGAAAGGCAACATACGGGTCGGAGTTGCTATATCCGACGTTCTTCGCCGGTCATGTTGGAGACGATGGGCACTGAAAGCTGATCGAGGATGCTCTGGACACTGGGTGTGGGGTTCATCTGGACTATGTCCGATCAGGGACGGAGGCGCCGATGGGACATGCGGTGGTGATGATGCCAGACGGACATAACTCGGATATAACGAATAATTTTATTATACTCATCTATATCTTCATCTAATTAATTATTTAATTTTATTTATTTTAGTTATGTATTTTACAAAAATATTTACAAAATTATTGAAAAAATGTGTGTAAGTTTATGTATATATGTATATATATAGATTTATTTCTTTCATTATTTATTATTTTTATATTCGATTATTTATTTTATTTACTTTATTTTTATTTTTTGATTTATTTTTAATTCTATAACGTTGGTGGAGAGAGTTTAAACCTTATGACACAGTAAAATTTTGTTTATCTAATTATCTATTATAATAAAGCCTTTTATGCAAAACTTTTTTAAATATGTTAAAATACAATTTTAAATTGATTTAGTCAAATAAAAAATAGTTATCGAATTTATAAAATTAAAAATAATTAAAAAATTTATGAATACAACATAATCAAAATTTCAAAATGTTGAACAAACTATCAAAATTTTGTTTTCATTGCAAAGCTAATCAAAATATTATTGTTTTGATTTACATAGAATAATAATATCTTTAACAATCTAAAACCAAAAAAGATCGTAAATCGAAAAGAATATATGACTATAAATACTACAAAAAATACAAAAAAAATAATTTACACAAACTAGACAAACTTAACTCTTTTGAAAATGTTTACAAACAATATAATGATAATTTTATAATACTTTAATTTTACCGATATACTTATTTATATAAAAAAACAAATTCTATCAAGATAACTATATTTATATCTCCATTTATTTTTGCGTTAAATGAATAAAGATTCTGTGATAAAGGAATATAAAGTCAAAAACACTGAAAGAGAAAATGAAGCATTTGATTGCTACATAAAAATGAAAACAATGGCTTTTTCTAAAATATTTTGATGATTTTTATACAAAAAAAAATTCTCTTATTTTTATAAACTACCTAGCATTTCTAGTTTTTGAACTCAATCATTTGATTGTATTTTGCCTCATAATCAATTTTAAATAGTTTTATGTAGGCGGGTGAACTGATTATGATTTAGGATCTAAAACTTATTCTGATTTTATATTTTATCTATTTTTATAACCTTGAAATTGGTGTGTAAACTCATAAACAATACTTTAAGTAAAATTCAAAATCATATCTCCAAATTCATAAATAAGAGAAAAATGTTCAAAAAATATATTAAATGAGATAATTAGACTATATTTTAAAAATAAAAAGGGAAAATCACAAAAAAAAAAATACACTGAACTTTCAAATTTTGACAAAAAAAACCTTGAATTTTTTATTTTATCAAATAAACATTAAACTTTTTAAGTTTGACAAAATAAACACTTAACTCCTCAACGATTGTCAAAATAAACAAAATGACTGATGTGGCACAAGCAGATGCAAGCACGCCAGATTATTTTTCTTAGTTATTTTGGACAATAAAAAAAAATTCATGTATTTTTTTGGATCATTAAAAAAGTTCAGTGTTTTTCCATAATTGGAGAAAAGTTCATGTATTTTTTGGATCACTTAAAAAGTACAGTGTTTTTTTAGATTCGTTTAAAATGTTTAATATTTATTTGATACAAAATAAAGTTCAGTGGTTTTTTGTCAAAATTGAAAAGTTCAATGTTTTTTCTTATTTTCCCAAATAAATAATTAAAAGTAAAATATATTTTCTATTTCTCATACTACAAACATATAAAAAAACTATTATCTTTAACTACACTATTTTTTTAAACTATAATTATTAATAATTAACTATTAAAATTTATTTTTACTATATATAGTATTCGCAATATCAATTAACAAAAATTGTCCATTTTATCCAAACTTTAAAAATTTTATACTAAACAAATTCATCGATTTTAATTTTCAGAAACGATAATAAAAAATATAGCGTATGATACATCTAAAATGAAAAATATTTTTATTAATATTTAGTACCTATTTATTACACTATTACACTATGTTCAATATTGTATTTACTTTTTGTTTTATAACATTGCAAAAATTAAAAATAAATAATATTTTATTTATTCATATACATATATTACAATTATATTGACTAAATATGTATTTGTTTGTGAAAAATGTATGAAATTATATATACAAACTTATTTAACTAAGGATGATTTTATACGACAATAATACAATAATATTTAAATTATTTCATTTAATTATTTCTTTATATATAATGATTTCATAACTAACAAAGATAAATATTTAATATTAACAACAACAAAAAAGAATAAACCGCGCATCGCGCGGTTCCTTCCTAGTTAAATATAATTTTTTAAAAATTGCCTATAAATTGGTTAGTGTTTGCACGCCAAACTTTCATTATTTGCTTATAACTTTTTTTTTTGTAAAAATATTTGCTTATAACTTTGCTGGTAGTGTTTTTTTTTATGTAATTTGGTTTTGTTGGTAGTGTTACTCAGGAAACAACAATCTAAACATGCGAATCTGACCAGTCCTCGAATCGAAGCTTAATGGAGTCATCATCTCCGTTGATGGGAGAGACGGTGTCACAGAAGATGAGATAGAAAAGGTGGAGACCGCTTTTGATCGAGTCATTGGATCGGAGGCAGATGCAGACGAGGGAAAATCACTCTCCTAGAAGAGAAACCGACAAAGAATCACCAAATATACCGCCATCTCCAGCAAGGCGTAGAAGCACGACGGGAGAAGCAATGACGAAGATTAGCTGGGGGAGAAACCAAAAAGGGGAAAAGAAGGGTTTATGGTAAAAGAATCTATAAAATGTTGGGGAAGAAAAGACGAGCTCAAAACTGTGTAGAGAAAGTAAGGTTGTTTTGATATAATTGAAGTAGCCAGGAGATGTTTCTGTCATTTCAATTAAAATGGTCCACCGCCATATGTGAATGAGTTTGTATTTCATGAAATTATCAGTATTATTTTAAAGGGTAAAACCCCTAAAAAACATCATATTTGCAAAAATATATACAAATAAACATTCAACTTGAAAAACTTCATTCAATCCCCGAACTTGTAACTTGTCACTGAATAAAACCTTGAACTTGCAAATTATTGCTCTAATAAACCTTTGACCGGTTTGACCACAATTTCAAACGATCGGAAATCTACGTATTAACGGATTGTTGATGTCACCTTATGCACGTTATCAATTTTAATTTAAAAAATGACATCAGCAATCCGTCAATACATGGATTTCTGATCGTTTGAAATTGTGGTCAAAGCAGTCAAAGGTTTATTAGAACAATAATTTGCAAGTTCGAGGTTTTATTCAGTGACAAGTTACAAGTTCGGGGATTGAATAACAGTTTTTCAAATTGAATGTTTATTTGTATATATTTTTGTAAATTGGAGTTTTTTTAGGGAAGGCAGAGCATTGTATACTCGGTGGCACGGGGTGTAAAAATATATCAATTTTAAAATATCAAATGAATACATAAAATTTACTATGACTATTAATATTTTATTTTTGACAAATATCGTCAAAATATGATAAATAGTTTTCTACTAATATTTATACTCTTATAAATTTAAAATGGGTCTAATAATAATCGTAGCAACTATTAAAGTTTTAATGTAATGTAATGTGAAATATCAGTTTGATTGGGTAAGGATCCCCTAGAAATCACTGGATTTTTATTTTGAAGATTTTTTCAGAGATTTATCCAATCGGGTTTGAAGTATATAATCCAAATGAAAAGTCATCAGGAATGAGTATACAATAGTGTCTTCTGAGTTTTATAAGCATCGTTATTTCTGATTGACATAGAAATAAATACTAACAATAATAATGATGATATTGATACAAATTAAAAATCACTAAAATCGTTGGTTTGCAAGTGTACTTTTATAATTAGAAAAACAAATAAACAATATTTTTTTTAATAATTAGAATAATTTTTATTAAAAATCTAACCAGAAGTAATGTTTGTCTCAATTGAATCATAACTATCTATGAATATATATATTCACATGTACATATATATATATATATCTAGACAAATACACAGATATATACACTTACATAAATATATATACATATATATATACTTGTATATATATAGATATATATACATACCTATATATGTATATATCTATGAGTGAACCTAGAAAACAATTTAATTAGGACAAATACTTGCATATCAATATAAGTGGTGAAAACATTCATTTTCTTTAAATTTATTAAATTCATAAAAAAATATTTTTTTATTAAAATTATCGGGATATGTGATTCCACTGGTTATAAAGTGGGTCTATTCTATATATATTTATTTATGTGTGTATATATACACACATATATATGTATATAAAAGTGTATCTATGCACATATGTATATATATACATGTCTACATATTTATATATATGTATGTGTATGCATATATGTATGTATGCATGTATGTATATATAATAAGTGTATATCTAATTATTGTTATATTATATATATATATTGTTATTTTTTTATCGTAAATTTAGGGAAATATAAAATTTTGGTTGGGAGAATCGGTACAGATAATTAATTAACGATATCGGTTTAAACCTTTTCATTCGATTATTTTAGATTTATTGCTTTACCAAAATTACAACTTACAAGCAAATGGTCTCATTACGAAATATTTTATAGTTAATGATTTGTATAGAGAATATTTAAAATTAAAACTAATAATAAATTTTAAAAAAAATTTATATATTTATTGTCCGCGCGATGAGCGCGCGGGGTTATTTGAAATTCTAATTCCTATCATGGATGGTTTACAAAATTATGATAGATCTTTTAAAAATAAAAAATGAATTTAATTCATTGATCGCATAATCGAAGATCTTAGGATCAAATAAACCAAACTGAGATGAGAAAAACAACGAAAAACAAATTTAATAAAATATAGGTCAAACTAAATGAAAGATTCAACTAAATGAGACTCCAACTCAGATTTGTTTAAGTTAAGAACTGGATTATTTTTATATGGATTATTGAATTATTATTATTATTATTATTATTATGATAATATATAGTAAATATGAAATAATCTTAGTTTTATATTTTAAGAAAAAAAAGTATAAAGACGACAACATCTTAGTTTATAAAAAAATAATACACTGATATCTAACTTTTAATTTTATATTATAACATACGAAAATATAAAAATAAATATAAACATTATTCACATCACTTTTTGAAAAAAAAAAGATATCCGATATTTTTAAAATTATGTATCATTTTCATTTAAAGATATAAAATATAAATTTAAAAACACAATATATATAAAATATATTTAACTTTATAATTAATAACAAATTTTTTAAAATTTAATCGTATTTATAGTCCGCGCGATTCGCGCGGGATAAATACCTAGTCAGTAAAATAATATGCCATAAGCATAATTGGACGAATCAGAAGATGCCACGTTGTACCCACATAACAAGGAACTCGGTCATTCAATAGGGTTTTAGACTCGCTGAGTCAGCAACACCATTCCACCCACCCTACGAGTGCTTTGCCACATGTACATGGCCATGGGCCGTCTTTCTGTAGTTACCAGATCCCGTCAAATTGGTTATCTCCAAAACCGCTGCATCCGTCCATCCACATGTCCGAACCTTGCGACCTGACTGCATCTGCATGTGCTTTCTCCGACAACATCGTCAGACACACTCACTGTTCCGTACAAATTATCTGCACATTTCTCTTTTGATGGGTTTTGTCACTGTAAGGCGACAAATTTGTCAATTCCAGAATTTCGTTAACGCAACACTTGATAGATAACCTTAAAAGGTCAAAATGGTCAAATACATAAGAATATATACAGCCGAGAGGGAGAGAGAGCGGTATAGAATCGGAACGTTACAAAGACAAAAAAGCCGAAACGAAGAGACATAAATCTATATATATTAATAAAGGAGTTTAGGATTGTGGTGAAGCCACCTCATCCTCCACATCATCATCCATGTGGAGGTTGTTTTATTTTTTATTGGTTTATTAAAATCTACATTAGCTATTTATAATGATAGTGATTATCATCAGAATATTATAATTAACAAAATTTCCTTTTTATTACATTATTACAATTAACAATGTTAGCTATAATGATTGAAATGCTAATATTTTGATAAAATCATGTTTACAAATTAAATTCCAAAAACTATAAAATATGTCAATCATACCAATAATTTCTACGGTTATTTATGCGAATAATATTACAAAAGATGATAAGTAAATAGTTTGTATAAGACAATTTGTAGATAAATGATAATCTACTATGGCGATACATATTTACGAGGCTTTGAAATTGGTCATTTTTTCCTTTTTATTAATTTGAGATAATCTCTTTATACCTTATTTTCTTATGACATAAACAATTAGCATACATTAAAAGCCCCACTATTCATCGTAGTGACGAATTGAATCTCCATCACCATCATATATTTATTACTAAGTTATTATTAATTTCTATATATAAAAAAACGTTAAAAATGTTCTATTGGTGTAACTGAAAATTTTACTTTAGCTTTCAAACCACAATTATTGTTAATTGCATAAAATGTAACTGATAAGTAGTGACTAAGGCATTTAAAAAAACAACAAAAAACGGAAGATTCAAAAACGTGGTATTAATTACCCCAATATGAACCAGAGTTCAATAATATATATATATATATATATATATATATATATGTGTGTGTGCGTGTTGTGTACCGCAAAGATAAAGTTGTTGTCTAAAGCGAGGACTTCTCTTAGAAGATCCATTCGTCTCCAGATGTGCTTGAGATAACCTTCCCTCTCGAACCGTGTTTTCTTGGCTTTCATATCGTTTCTTCCATGGAAGAGAACCGTTTGTTTAACCATTGTCGTGCACCGCTTCAATACCGCCTTCACCCCGTCGTTTCTTGCGAAAACACCATCGTGTTTTTCAAGAATGTTGTCCCCATCAGAGCAAGAAGGGTTCTTTTCACGTTCTTGGGTATTTTTGTCGCCGTTTAATCTCTCTTTTGGAAGGGTTGAAGCGTCGCGGGAATGAGCAGAGCAGCGAGGAGAGATGGGGAGATGAGATAAGATTTGACGGGGAAGCAAGTGGCTTTGGAAGAAGATATCATCTGCAGGAGACATATCCACAACGATAGATTTGGTCTTAACGTTCGGAGAGAGGAGAATATATGAAGATGAACTACAATTCCAGAGATAGACGGTGAAAGAGAATTCGGGAGATGGTGAAGATGATGATGAGGAAGGTGATGTGTTATGTTCTTCGTGAAGAATATTCTCCTTGGTTCCTTGATGGTCTTCATCATCATTATCATCATTACAACTCATGATTGAGAATATACGAGTTTTTAAAGTTTGAAAGAAGTAGAAGTTATGGATGCAGAAAATGTAATTGTAATGGACCAGAGCTTTTTTTAAACATTAGAGAACTCCTAATCTATAAATTCTCTAAAAAAAATTCTTTTTTTTGGGTCCTGATTGTTCATGTACAAATCGATCGGGTTTGACGAATTCGGGTTCAAAAAATGTTTAAAAAATTAAAAGAACAGAAATATATTTCAATTCGAACCGGATCTGGATTTCATATCATTTACACCGGATTTATGTCTAATTTAATTCGATTAATTTTATCCATAAATTTTATTATAACATTTTATACATTGGTTGCATGTGCACAAAGGCATACATGCATGCACGTATGTGAAATGAGAATGTGGTGGTAAAGGATCAGGAAGATGATGTATTTAGAATTACATGCAAGAAAAATATATGTGAAATGTCCAATGTGGAGTGTATTTTGTAAGTTTAATTTTGTAAGTTTTGTTACTCGCGTTGCCTTTCACACCAATACCATGTTACAACATTTGTCTTCATCCACAAGTGTTGAAAATAATAATAATAATAATAATAATAATAATAATAATAATAATAATAATCTATATTTATAATAATGAGGTTTAAAGGTTTGTGTTGAAGCCACCTAACTAAAAACTATGTCATCATTTTTAAATTTTAAAAAAATGAAAATTAGAAATTTGAAAGATTTCTATAATATAAACAAAAAATATTTAATATATCCAAAATAATAATATAATTCTATATATATAATAATAAAGTTTAAAGGTTTGTGGTGAAGCCACCTAAGCATCCAACTAAGCACCATGTCATCATTTTTAAATTTAAATAAATGAAAATTAGAAATTTGAAAGATTTCTATAATATAAACAAAAAATATTAAATATATCCAAAATAACATTTAAGATAAAGATGTTTTAAAAAATTAAAACAAATATTTATATATTTCTAAAATACATACAAATATATGACATAGAATTAAAAAATCTATGATTAAAAATTCACACAAATTCACACACGTTTTTAAATATAAATAATCACAAACTACAAATTTGAAAGATTTCTAAAATATAAACAAAAAAAATCTATATATCAAAAATAATATTTAAGATAAAGATATTTTCAAAAAATTAAAACAACTTTTTATATATTTCTAACATTCACACAAATATATGATATACAATTAAAAAATATATGGTTAGAAATTTACATAAATTCACACACGTTAATAAACTAAAATATTAATGAATAGATAATTAAAATAATTTTAGTTTCATTTATTTAAAAAACCTATATATAAATAAGTAGTTTTTAAAGTAATTAATTAATAATTTAAAAGATTTATAATTCAAAATCAATGCATTATATTAATCTATGTATATAAAAAATTTGGTTCAAGAATTGTGGTGAGGACATGTGGCATCCATCATCATCATCATCCACTTCATTATCTATATAATATTCTTTTTTTATATAGATTTTGAATATGAGAAAAATAAGGTTTTTAAAATGAAAACTAAGAAAAAATAATTTCTTTTTTTTTTAGTTTTTTCAATTGTCATTGATCTAATATTCTCATATATTATTGGTTCCTTTTCTAAATAATTCTAATTTATATTAAAATAATTTAATATTATAATAAAAAATTAATAAAATATATATACATATATTCTTTATCAAATAATTATTCTATTAATAATTAATAAAATAATTAAAACTTTATAGTAAATACAAATTATGTTAAATTAAAAATTAAAGATAAAATAAATATTATGAAGAAACACACAATACATATAATGATAATAATGTGTTCAATTTTTGCGATATTTAATAATTCATTAAGGGTCATGTAATTTCAAACGTCGATTATTAGTTCCCTTAAAGCTAATTGTAACGCTAATATTTATTTATAAATATTAAATAATTGTAACGTTGATATCTTAAAAGCCACCCACTAAAAATTTCTTCAAACACGAGAATAAAACAAAAAACGGTCATGATTTGGAAAGTTTTATTCGTTAGTACACTAAAGACCACATTTTTTGGTTTCCTACATGAACTAATGCGATACCACTGCTGTAATAATTTGTTTTCTGTCGCGCCCGGGTTATGGAGAGAGATTAGTTTGTTCCTCCTGGTCCGATCAACTTTGAGTCTTGCTTGATGGATAGTAAGGTGTCGGTCTCTATGAATGCGAGAATTTCTTTCCATCCGGTCCGATCAACTTTGAGTCTTGCTTGATGGATAGTAAGGTGTCGGTCTCTATGAATGCGAGAATTTCTTTCCATCCAAATGGTGTCGCATATTCGATGTCGCATCAGATTGTGCTAACCAGGGCCAAGGTGAGGGATGACACATACACAACGTTTGAGAATATATACCCTGTGCTTACAGAATTCGTCCAGCAATATGCGTGGCCGACTTATTTTGGCATCTGGTTTTTTGCGGGTTTGTAGTGTTCGTTGTATCTGAAACATCAAGTGTAGTCACCTTTGTATCGCCCTTTTGTGTAATTATGGATTGTGAGATAAAGAAATAGAGGAGTTGAAACCAAATCTTCATTTTGTGGTGAACACTCCCGTTTTGCTTAGATCTTTTGAATAGTCATATTTTTTTTTCCTCTTTCATGTTTTTCAACTTTTCAAATTTGTTTTCGAAAGAAGAAAAATTGTAAGATGATTTTCATCTTCTCCCCCTCAACTTTCTATACTCCACCTAAAAGAGAGTTTAATCCATTTGGTTGAATTGTTTACATTATCGTTTGAAAAAAACAGGTAATGTATACATCAGGATTCTTCAATAGGCCTTTCGTCAAGAGATTAACTTCATGGTCAAAGGTTAAATTCATAGGAAGAAACTTGCAATTATTTTCACAACTAATCAAAGATTTGCATTTGGAAGCAATATATGCCTTAACCTTTTTACCGCATTTAAGAAATGCATTTCTTCTTCTCTTAAGCATGTTCCGGAGTTATATCTTTGCAGTTCGCCGGTTCAAGACGAAGCCAACAAGGAGGAGGATGTAGAAGAAAAAAAAGAAAAATGCAGCAGAAGCAGGAGGAACAGTTGAGTGAAAATTTTGGAAGGAATAAGAAAAAATTTTCGACGAGCACTTGAGAGTTAACAAGAAAATGCATAGCTATGATTTTTTTTTTTTGATATATGTCCATATGGGTTCGAACCGTGGATGGGTAGATATTCTCAACCACACGTTGTGGACCATAGCTATGATTTTTACTGTTTTCATATTCTTTTTTCCCTCAATTAACGTGTCCTCTTTTTTTCTTTTTCTTTTTTGATAGGTTTTTTCCGTACAGACCATTCAGTGGGTATTTCTAGGACTTATCCATCGGAGAAAACGATGATGCGGCCAAAGGAGAAGACGGGTCGACAACGAGGACGAGGAAATTCAACAGCAGGAGCATGGGAGGAGGAGAACGACGTTCTGGTCGGAGTCGTTGGTTATGGCGATATTTTGGGCGCTGTAACTATGGCGTCCTCCGCTTTGGTCTCTCCTCCTTCGTATCGATCTCACGATAGATCTCACGAAGGTTTTGGTAATGAAACTCAGAGTTCATGGTATGAAACGAGTAAAAAAAATATCAGTATATACAAGATTTTTATAAACAAACAAGATTCTAAGATGTTACAGGTTTATGAAAAAAATTAGAAAGTCCATCTAATTTTTTAGAAGTTTTAGAATTTGTATATTTGTATAATAGTTTTTTTAAAAATACGTGCTTTTTAGGTTATTATATATATATAAATATAAAACTATATATGATATTTTTTTTATTATTGTATTGAGTTAACTAAACTTTTTATTACTTTTATTTTATTATTATATCAAATTAACTAGCTTTATAATTCATGTATTTTATCACTTGACACATCATTATCTAGACAAAATGGAAAACTTAGCCTAATCAATAAATTTTATGATAGATATGAAAATTTAACTATTATTAAAATAAATGATAATTATAATATTTAATAATATCATTTTTGGTATTATTTTGTTTAGCTAAAATTTTCATATAAATTGAATAAAACATACCAACAACGAGGAAACGTAGAACAAACAGATGAAAATAGAATTGAAAATCGAAAATTGTTAAAAGTTATGGAGATAATTTTCAATAGAATTAAATTATCACTTTATTTATGTATATATGTCTATTAGGAATAACAACAATCATCTATAAGTATGCACAACTCAAAATCATTTTTTTAAATATAAAAAAACAATAAATATTAGGAATAAAGATATACAAAACAAATCATTGACAACCTTATTTATTCAATACTTATATAAAAAACTATTCTATAATCTAATAACAATGATATTTATATTCTTTCACTACTTCAATTCTTATTATATGAATGATTTAATAATATAATATAATTTAATATAAAACATATATATCAATTTTTTTATATTCATTTTAATAGTTTTTCGTAACAAAAAAAAATAATTTATATTAACAAAAAAAAAAAATAACCCGCGCATCGCGCGGTTCTCATCTAGTAAACAATAAGAAAGAAGAGCAGCATACAACTGGTTTGTGTTTTTCCTTGCATGCATGCATGCATGCATGCTGCCACTATAAAACATGTTTTTAATTATTGTTCTTTACGACTTGTCTGAAATCTGCTGTGTATATGTAATGAAATGAGAAATGGAGGAGGGGGGAGGTTTCACTTTGTGGAAGAACAAGGCAGGCCAATGAACAATTCTGTCTCGACCTCGGAAATAGGGCTACTCTCCTCGACAGCTCTTGCAATGATATTCTGCTGCTCCTTATCCATCCCCGTTCGGGAACATTCCTCTGTTTCCCACTGAAATCACACACTTACACTCAGACATTCCCATAAGTTCATGCTGATGATCGAGCCATTACGATATATATATAGAGCTGATGGTTTTCTGCTTAAAACCAGGAAGCATTTTACCTAAGAAAACGTAACTATAGAAGGGAGTGCAGGTTTTCAAGACCAAGATGCGACATGGTTGCATCAGAAATACATGTTTTCTTATATTATATAGTTGCATGGTCAAAGCATGAAACACCCTTTTGTTTCACGTAGAATAATCACAAGCAATCCGTGTTTCGGTATAAATTGATCATCAATTGCAAAAGCGAAAGTTGGGTCTACGACTACGGTTGTCAAGGACCGTTTTTGGAAGAACAAAGTAGTAAAAGACTAGCCGTTTACCACAACCAACGGAAAAGACTTTGTGAATGGGTGAATGGATTTACCTTCTTGGATAGCCTCTCGTTTTCTGCTGCCAGGGCTTTCTCCTGAAGTTTGGTTCAAAGAGAAGCAAGAGGCAACGAGATTGGCAAAAGGGTAAACTGCATTTTAACATATACGCTTACATATGTACACATATATGTGTATATATACCTTTTGTCTTAGCTGCTCAATCTGTTCTTTGAACACCTGAGTCTGCATATATGTATGCAATACATATATGCACAAAGATCAAATCATGCTGCGTTCTGATAACCGGACTTTAAGTGGTTTCAAAGAAGATTGAAAAGGAAGAAGGGTTAGTATGTATGTATTGTGTACATATACCTTCCTTGCTCGAATGGTTTTCACACTTCTCTCGAGCTGCTGTTCGATCTGCTGCAGCTCCTCGATCGAGCATGACCCTATGCCTTCTCCCATGAGTTTCCTGATGAACTCGTCAGACACAAGGAACTGATCAGAGTCTTATACCGGAACCCTGCACACACACATATATACGTGTATATATATATATAGCTAATAATCAGATTCTTAAGGTACGAACCGTTTAGCATTTTCAAGTTGTTCAATCTTTCTCATCATGTTTGCTGCCTCATGCTTCAAATGCTGCAAGTCACATAATCATCAGCACTTTAGGACATTTTCGATCATGTAATATGTAATATGATCACGTGCACGACATGGGCAGAGCCAAACTTGACTGCAACCTCTCTTAATTAGTTCTTTGCATTTGCAAACCGCTAGTGGATAGAAAATGTTTTGACTTTCATTAATCAGTATCATAACTGTTATTGTGAAAAATTAATAACCTGCATATTCTCTTCAGATGTTGGCTTGTTGCTGCTGACTCGATCTTTGGTATGCCTCAGATAACGTTCAATGGTTTCTTGCATGCTGTTCAACATTATGAAACATCAACTCAACACGAGCCACCAACACACAAAACGCCCAAACCCTTTGGAGACATATTGTACGGAAGGGTCAACACTCTCTCTCCCTCTCTCTCTATATATATGTGTGCGCGTGTGTGTGTGTGTGTGATCATGCATAAAGGAACCCAATATTCTTAATTCTGAACCTACAAGAGATCTTGTCACAGAGATTCTTACACAGCCTGGAACAGTGACAAGATTCTTAAAAGATTAATGCATTCTTCCATGGAAGATTCTTGCGTATATAGCCCCAGAACATTTATTCCTTAAACTAAGAAGTCGATCAAACCTTAGATCTATATACAAGAACATGGATCGAAGAAAAGACAAGGAGCTACTTAACTTTCATAAGTAGCCGAGATCTGTTATATAAGGTCAAGATTTCTTATGCTTCAGATACTATTTTTGCGGCAAACTTTGAAAACTAGGCGAGGAACAATACATAGTTTACAGTGAAGTAACTGTTTGTGCCAGGCTTTCACCGGACAGGAACTTAACACGTAATTAATACCTTAAATCGCTCAGGGTGAAATTATATATTGAGTATAAAGGAAGATAGAACCAAATGGAAGCAACCCCGCAAAGATTTTGTCTAAGCTAAACCAAAGATCAATGTGATAGGACATAGTGAGAAAACCTAAAACCCAAGATTCGTATGATCATTACTGAGATCCATGAAGATAGAGAAAGGACAGTGCAAGTGTCTGCCACTGAGCTCTCATTATTCTTGAAGAGAGACAAGATGGGCAAGTAATAAAGAGATCTCCGACCATTTATGATTCTCTTTAATAAACCTGAGATATGGATTTCACAACCAGTAAAGCCAAGGAAAGATCCTAAATCCAAAAGGGTTTTATCCAGAGAGTGTATACACGTACTTGGCACTGGCGAATTCGTAGAGCCTGCCTTTGGGGGAGAAGATGATGAGAGAAACCTCGGCGTCGCAAAGAACTGAGAGCTCAAAGGCCTTCTTGAGAATTCCGTTCCTTCGCTTCGAGAAGGTCACTTGTCTGCTCGTCGCGTTCTCTATCCGCTTCATCTGAGTCTTCCCCCTCACCATCTTCTTCCCTTCCCAAAAAAAAAAACAACACCTTTTGTTTTTTTACAGATAAATCGATGTTTTGTGATGAAATCGCTCATATTATAAACCACGAGCAAAGAGATTTTTTTATTTTATTTTGCTAAAACACACGACATCTATACTCAACTGATTCTACGAAACCCTAGAGGTAAAAAGATTGAACTCCCAGGTATGATTGTGACAATATAGAATCTCAAGTAAAAAGCTTGTTTTTCTCCGTTAATAAACGTGGGGTTTTTCCTTCTTTCTTTCTGGGTTTTGGAGGAGACGAAGTCAACGAGGAAAGGGATTTCCAAGTCTTTAAAGCAAACGACCTCAAGACCAATTTGTGGAACTGATCTATATATATATATATGTGCGTGTGTGCGTGTTTTATGGATCTCTCCAAAACGAATGCAAGATGCGACCTTGAAGATTTGGGGAAAAAGAGAACCAAGAAGATCAGATCAAGAAGAAGTCTTACCGACAACCCAAAAGGGAAAACCTAATCGGAGAGTTTGTGGAGAAGAAAGCACCAACGAGAGGCGCAAGCTGAGGAGGGTAAGAAGCTGCGACTGCTTGTATTTACGACCATATAAATACATAAATATATATGTATAATATTCACACAAATTCAAAAATTAATACCCGAGGTCCCTTTTATGGAAAGAGCACGAGTAGGCTTTCCTTGTCCATCTGTTATGTCCCTCAAACCCCACACACCCATACAAGAAACAAAGACACTTGTTTGGCTCTTGTCCTAAAAAGATCCTTACGACTTTGATCCATTTAGATTTTTTTTTAATATAAATTTGGTTTATCATAATTATATATAATATACTAATAGCTATAGTAATATGTACCTCAAAAGTTGACGGACGCTTGAAAATGAAACCTCATCCTTTGCTTATTTTAGTACGACCCTCACCTAACATCAAAAAGGCAAAATGTGATAAATTTGGTAAAATTCACATGCATATATATATATATATATATATACACACACATGCAAGATCGGAAAGATATAAAAAAAACATCATATGATCACATTACACATCGGAAGAAAGCTATGATGGAGGAGATGACTCCAGAGAGGCATATAGTGACGTGTCACATTTTAAAGGACCAGTGCCCTTTTTTTCCCCCCTTGTATTTATTCTTTTTTCTTACGCCTCTGTAACCATTTTACTTGGGTCTTTCTGACAACAGATGAATAATGACTTAAGCTCTTCAGACAATAATCTTGTCTTGTCAGAACCGGAGCATCAAAACATTTTTATTTCCCGTGAAATGGCTTGAAATTCTTTTGTGGAATAATATAAAACTAACACTCCTAACGTAGGATGGCAAAAGATTCTTATGCTCGTAATTAAATATTTTTGTTTACAAATTACCAAATTTAATTTTTGTAACTGACATATAGATGATTTGAGCAAACCCCTAAAAACTATACCCGGATTTGAAAATAGCTCAGAGTAATGAAACAAAATGTACTGAAGCAATGCATGAAGCTGTGACCTGGGATTATGATTAATTCGCACTCACAATCATTTAAAAATCAAAATAAAAAATCAAAGATGGTTTCACAGCTAAGAATTTGGGGGGGGGGGGGAGGTACAATGTTTAGACATCAATATCGTCCGTACAGCCACGTACAGAATCCAACCAATCGGAAATAGAAAACGCACCACACCTCTTTTTGGTTATCCAATCAAAAACTCGCAAACCGATAAAAATTAAAATCTGGGGTAATGTGGGACCCACATAATTGATTTTCTAATTTTGGAAAATTTTCTTACCCTTTTTCTCATGGCTTGCTCTGTTAGGTTAAAACTATGAAAAAAATTTGCGCCTAGTCGCATCATTATAAATCTATATATATATATTTTTTTTCAAACTATATTTTTTTATAATTTTTTGACAGAAATATTCTTAATTTATTATATAATTTCAATATTGTCATTTACCGTTCCGAAAAATGTACAGTATGAAAAACAGATTTTTTTGGAAACTGTGTTATTGAGGAAAAATACTTTTCACTAGTCATAACTATTTTTCATCCAGAAGAATTTGTTTTCATCCGGAAGAACTATTTTTTATCCGAAAAAATTATTTTTCATTCGAACAAAAAACAGTTCTTCCAAACAAAAAACAGATTCTGTCAGACGAAAAACAACTCTACCGGACAAAAAACAATTCTCCCGGACGAAAACCAACTCTCCCGGATAAAAAACAAACTCTCCCGGACGAAAAACAGACTCTCCCGGACGAAAAACAACCCTTCTGGACAAAAAAACAGACTCTCTCGAACGAAAACAGCCCTCCCGGATAAAAAACAGACTCTTCCGGTTGAAAAACAGCTCTCCCTGACGAAAAATAGACTCTCCTGGACAAAATACAGCTCTTGCGGACAAAAAACAGACTCTAACAGACGAAAAACAATTGTCTCGGATGAAAAAACAGTTCTCTCGGATAATAAAGTTTCCAAAAAAATCTGTTTTTTATGCTGAACAATTTTCGGAACGCTAAATAGCAATATTGAAATTATATAATAAAGTAAGAGTATTTTTTTCAAAAAAAATTATAAAAAGATATAGTTTGTAAAAAAAAGAAAAAAAAAAGTAATAAATTTATAATGATGTGACATATTTTATCAATTAACCCTAAAACTATTTTAAGCCCTTTTTTATTTTTTACACCTTTTAGAATAAAAACATAGGTTGGATTTTCTTTTATAGATTATTTTCCTAAATAAGCCCGATAAAAAGAACAACTCCCCTCTATCGTAACTGTAGCATCTTTGTCTGACCAAAATCTTACTCCATTTTTTCTTTCTATGTTGCTATTATTATTATTATTATTATCATTATTATTATTATTATTATTGGTTCGGTGAAAGCTGAAATCTTCAACAAGTTTCTGCCCAAAGAAAAATAGTTATGGAAATATTGTGTGTAACTGTGTATGCCATAAAACTTTAATTATTTTTTGTGGGCAACACTTTGTCCATTGCAGAGGATGACGAAGTTTTTTTAATTGATGCCTAATTATTAAAACATAACAAGAGAACTGCGCGACAAAAATAGAGGAGACGTAGTAATATATATATATATATATATATATATCCATTGGTCATTTATATATTACCTGTTCAATATGTATATTCAAATGGTACTTTGTTTTATTGGATTGGTGGGAGAATAGTAGAAATTATGTAGTTATCAAAAAGTATTGATAATATTTTATAATTTAAACTATAATATATATATTATAATGTTTCATGCTATAATCTTGGTAGTTGGATTAGTTATAAAAGTATAATTAGGTTAATATCGTAAAGAAGTAGGTGTTGTGTTTATCGACTAACAATTCGATCATCATAAAAATATTTTATAAAGTGAAATTAAGCATGATTAATGTTGTTCTATAAAGCGGATAGAGTCTCATCTTTTTTGCCAAAACTACCAAAATGGTTTAAATGATGAAGTCAAAAACTAAAATCTTCACGTGTTTCAGGAATACAGAGGAAAAGATATATGAAGTTTGACTATAACATATAAATAAATATAGGGTTTTGTATTCATCTATTTTACCCTAAATGTATGCTACCCACCATGCTCATGAACCATAAGAGCACATATTAATGCCAACCCTTTGATCGGACCCACCTAGGGTCGATTGGTCAGACTTCTTGCGATAAACTCACTAAGAGGACGAGTATTCGATTCCGACTCGAGGGAGGGAGGTAAATGCGGTAATTATGTCCGTTGAGCCTTAGACGGATGTAGTCGGATCGACGAAAGTCTGGAGAAACATTCCGGTTATAAATAAAACTCTTTGATCGTCCATTTTGTCATATTTATCCTCTGTTTTTTTTTGCCTCTGAAATATTAAACTACACGATACAACGTCCTATGAACGACTTACAATTGTGTGTTTTTTATAAAAAAAAAATTGAGAGATGAAATTATAATTTGGGTTTGAAATTTTATTGTTAAACATGATTAATTATGAAAAGAAAAGAAAAGTGAAGATTTTGGGAGAGTTGAAGTTCCGACACATGTGAAGTGGGGAGTGGGTTTTGTGAAGGAGGATGGGGACCACAGCGCGTGACGTGCACTTCCACTTCCACACGAGGGTCTCTTCATCCAACGGTCATTATTCAATCTCTTGATCTTCGGCATTTACGTCATTCCCCACGAAGAATTATGCTTTCGTCTGCTCTGGTACACACACACATATATATATATATATATATATATATATATATATATGCGTCCGTACACAGTGATGCCATGCCACTATTTCCGTGAAGCATTTTAAATGTGTTATGAAATAGAAGCACTAATGGGAGAATTTATATTGGAAAAAAAGATGTGTCTAGTGACAGAGGAGATTATTCTCAAAAACATCATACATAATAAAATTTCAGGCCCTAATTTGCAATTATGAAAGAAAGCATCGGACGTCATCCTCTCGGCCTCGGGGATCTATAAGCAAATCCAAAGTGAATATGCGAAGATTAATGTCTCGTTAAGGCCTAAACCTTACCATATACCAATGACACACAATTTAAGGAAAAAAACGATTACCCACTAAAATTAGGAGAGATTTGGATAATAAACAGTAACATGCTCAGAAGAAGAAGAAGCATTTTTCTTGGGGGTGGAGAACGGCACGCAGTTCTAGTCGCACCCACTTGAACAACATAACATTTTATTCCACAAGAATATGACCAACCTCTCAGAACCCTAAGAAAGTCATGTAGCATAACACGACCACTGCAAAATGGATATAACATTCTTCTGGTTATGGAGAAACCCGAAGCTCCATGTGTTGCCGCCCACACGGCAAAGTAAAACCATTTCAAGTTTCTAGCTATAATATAGTTATCAATACCTTGAGTATGGATTCATGGAGGCAAATGTATCCAAAAACTGCACTGCCTCCACGCTGCTTACATGGAATAACTGGAAGGGAAAGAAGGAGAACAACAAAATCACTACCTTTGGATGATAATAGAGAGGAAAAGCAAACATTCACATATACAGAAGGTTAACGTCAAAGTTCAGAGGTTCCAATTGTTTTGGAAGTTTTAAGGGACTAGCGTATTTAGATATGTGAGGATGCATATCGATCGTACTCTCCTCAAAGGGTAAAATACAAGCATCAAATATAAGGCACTAGATTACAAACTTACAGATTCAACCCTTGCCATTTCAACCATGTAATTTGAGGGGTTCTCCTGGAAAGAAGAATATAGACAAATAAAATATCAGCCAGAACTGAAACCAGCTGTTAGTTGTATATATATATATATATGCTTCATTGATTCCTCATGCTCTGAGAAATTTAGCCGAAAGTATGCAAGATACAAAACTACAGTCGAAATTGTTTTTTGAGCTTTACCTTGCAGCAAGACAGTTGACTCAAGACATTTTAGGGAACATAAGATGAGCTAATAAGGAGAGCAAAACCAATCAGAAGATGCACATACCAGTTTCAGCTCGGATGCTCTGGTGAATAGCATTAAGTCCCCGTAGGAATGCGATGTTTGGACAACATTTAACGCATTTGCAAGAGCATGACTAGTCTGTATCCATATTAAAAAAAACACTAAATGAAGAAAATGAATCGCCTTGCTACTAATCTCAACAATATTGCGTTCACAGCTGCAAGAACATACCTTTTCAGCTAGATGGACAGCATTCTGTTTCTGACTGTCGCTGGGGAAGACAATTGGAAGGTACTCAATCTGTTCAGTTTTGAATAAATTTATCCCAATGAGCTAAACAGCTAAAAATGAGCCAAGGGTAACAAAGCTTGGAAACCCGGTGAGATGCATACCTGCATGAAATTGTGAAATTGTGTGAACATTCTAAACATGAGTGTTGACAGAGAAATGTTTCCCCTGAAAGTAATGAAAAAACACCAGTGAAGAAAAGAATTGGACGAGTATTCAGTGAATCAGTGTTTTAAAACAACATATAAAGGCAAAAAAAAGAAGACAAAAGAGTCTCACCAAGATTGATCGAAATGTACATGGGGATAGCGGACAACTACAAGTTGAATTGGGTAACCAGGAATGAAAGCACCGAGTTGGAAGGAAATCAAGACTTTCCCGTTAGTCGTGGTTCCCTCGGGGAATAAGAGCAGACGGGGAAAGTTATCGCATGAGGCCTTTCTCTGTATTCAGATCCTTGAAAATACATTCTGTATCAAATAGCTAACAACTAGATACAAACCACTTTGAATCTTTTTCAATAACAGAAGATATAAAAAAAACATCATATGATCACATTACACGCAAGGTAGCAAGCAGCACATGCCACTGAATCTCTGTAACTTTATTTCATGGACAGCAATCTTCCTCGATGTCTGTGAGAATCTATTAACATATATCACCTAGAAAGGATTAAGAACACATGAAAAGTCACATCCTTGAACTGGAATGCAGCAACCTTAAACAAATCTGGAAACTCTATAGAAGGAAAGAATGGCTAACCTGCATTGCCTGATAATAGTTCCGACAAATGGAATGGAATCATGGGACTCTGAAGCAACAATTGTCGGGAATAACTCGTAGAAGTAGAAGATCGGCTCAATGTACGAAACATGGTTGGACACAACGATCGGTGCTATCTCCCTAGGAGCAGGTTTTCCTTTACGTTTTATCCACTGATAACTGAAGGATGGAAGAAGGATTATAAAGCATGATGAAAAAGACAACCCACATATCCCACCATGAAAATTTCCAGACAGAACAACATCCTGGGACAAACTATTTCAAGCCATGAATACACGACATATCCTTAGAAAGAATGGTAAATGAACTTCCGAAATTTCTCGGCAATCAACACATTCGAGAAGATAAAAGCCAGCTGGTGAACTGATCAATGAAGGATAAACGCTCAATTAAGGTCTTTTGCAACCATTGGCTGGAATGATCTCAACTTTTGCATTTGCTACTTGAACATTCAATCAGCAACTAAGGCGATACTCGTAATCTCACTACTAAATAACTGGAATTCGACGATTAAGACACAAGGAACAGAGAAAGAAAGACTTACCCAAAAGAGAAGAGTATACACCTCGCGCAAATCCGAGTGACCCACATGATCGTAGATCTCCATTTGGGCATAGGGTTGTGTTTGTCTTTCCATCGCTCGAGCGCCACTCGAGTAGCGACATATCCCACAGCCAGACTAAGACCAAACAGAACCAATCGAACCAAAGCGATCGGCAGACACACGACGACTTTATTGGCTTCGTACAACCCACTTACTCCCGGCGTTTCGTTTCGGAACGGATTCACCGTGGTCGGACCGAGAACCGATAGCTCGGACGCTCCGAGAAACTCGTAGGGGTTACACGAATTACGATGGCCGTAAAAGGCGAGAGCACAATGGTCCTGATTCTGAACATGGGGCTTTGCGATGGCGGGATGACTGGAGCCGGAGTCGGAGTCGGTATCGTCGACGGTGATAACGAGATCTGGTCAATCAGATGATGGGGAGTGGATGAGGGGAGACTCCAGATCACGATCCGCCATTCCCGGTGGATGTCAGAACGAGGAGATAGAGATCGCAGAGCGGGTGAAGCGAGCTGTGAACATGCACCCTTGGTGGGGCATTTTACTAAGATAACCTACTAGCTTCGCAGTAATTTTAAAGGTGCACGTCCGAAAACATAAGGTTTTAAATTTTTTTGAAAGGACGATAATACCCTTAATGAATCCGTATAATTTGTTCGAAAACAATTTTGTTATTGCGACTTCGTAATTAATTCTAAATATAGTTGTAATTGATTCTAACTGTCAAATTTTAAAAATAACTACATTTTTTTTACTACTTTCATATTCATACTATCATAACTATTTCTTATTTTAGTTGTAAATTAGGAAAAAAAAAAGATATTTCGAACTTTTTTAACTTAAAAGTGGTATAAAAATTTAAAAAATTTTTTTTTATCTTTTTATACTGATGTACCAGCGAAATTCTTACGACCCAAGTGGATCATTCGAGTAAAATGAACCTTGTTGGAGTGGAATGCCATTTTGTTTCATTGTTTGTTTGCCGATAATATTTAACAGTTTTTTTTTTTCTTTTGGTATCGTTTCCCACGTTTCTTTTTATATAAAACTCCAAAATATATATATATATATATATATCTTATTCTGCTAAATGGGCCCATTTAGATGGACCATCTTATTGGGCCTTATAACATGAATAGTGGGCCTCAAGTTTTAAGTTTAATTGCTAATTCGTTGGGAAGGTATGGCCTTTCCAACAAATTTCTCGAAACATGAACATATACGGCCTCGAAATATGAGCATATGTCAGAATTTCAGGAATTCAAATTAAACGTGACACAACATGCTCTTAAAAATTATTTCTATATTTTTCAATGTATTTATTTATTCTCACTATGCAAACAATTGATTAAAACAAAAGGGAGAGGCATAAGCTAAGCTAACTAAAAAAGGGGGAGTGAGACAATGTATAGCTTCGTTATTTGAATTCAATGGACGTTGTAAATGTAATTAAATGTTAGAGAGAGAAGTGAGGTCCACTCAATGAAAGAGAGGAGAGGGATGGATCCACGCCCACGGGGACCCAAGTTGGTTGTGCCTTACATACTTCTCATTACTTATACGGTTCATTCACACTATAAACTTCAAATTAAAAAGATGTAAATACATAAAATACGTATCATAAAGACGTATTCATATTTTGAATGCTAGAGTCTTGGTCTTAACCCATATGATAACCAAGAGAACGTTTAAATAAATTGATTGTCACATCTGTATGGTGAGTTAGGATCAGATGAGATAGAATCAACGGTCAGGATGAGGTGACGAGAACCAGCTTGATATTTATCGAATAGAGGAGAGGGCCCACCATACTTTTTTAATGGTGACCAGCTCCGCTCCTTCTCAAGTGGGGCTCAGGCCCCACCATGCCACTCCCCTCCCCTCTTCCTTTTACAAAAATAACGATCTTTTCGCCATATGGACCGCATAACACGAAGAGCCCGCAATTACTTTCAATATATATATATATATATATATATATATATATGTGTGTATGGGGTACATGAACCAAAAACGAGATAAAGGCCATCTTTACAACATGTCTTTTCATATTGGTCTCTATTAAGTTAATCTTACGAAATCAAGAGTAGAAAACAAAAAAAAGAAAGAAGTAAATAGTATTTCCATTTGATTAGGTGCGGTAATGATTTTCATTTACTGTCAAGGGGGCCCCACCAATGGAAAAAGCAAAACCCCACACCGACACGTAAACCAATAGGGAGGGGCCCATTGGGTGATCGATGGAACCAAATCGGTGGGGACCATCCAGAGCTGGCCGCCTTGGAAGCAATGCGTACGGTCGTCCGGCCCCGCCTCCCACTCACGAGCCCCTATATAATTATCTTTGATTTATTTTTATATTTTTCTGGACCCCCCCCCACTTTTGCTTTCGTTTTTTGTTTGGTTCGTGTTGACCCCATCTCGTGGACCCCACCGTCTGCCTAATCCCAGCCCCACTTAACACGTGCGTACCTTTACCCTCACCCGTCACGTGCCCACGTGCTCCCCCTCCCCCAAATCGGGTGAGAGAGGGATCCGATCGGTTCGTTCAGCTTCGGTCATTGAATGATCGTTCACGGCGTACATGACCGTGACGAGACGCAGCTTCTTCTTCATCTTGTCATAAACTGGAGTTCTTGTTTGTCGTAAATTTCGAGCGAGAAGTCTCTAAGCATGTGCGTTCTATTCGATGAGCCGCTTGCAGTGCTTCCCCTGATTATGCCGGAGCTCGATATCGGTGCCATAACCGACGTCGTTATCGAGGGTTTCGATGCTGCAATGGTTGAAACCGAGAGCATGCTGCTGCTCTGTACAGCTTGGTTCGGAGCCGCCATGGCGGCAATGAAAGACGACGTCATGGGTCTCGCCGAGATGTTGATCAACGGCGCCGCGGTTGCCTGAAAAGCCAGAATCTGCGGCTGGTTCGATGGTCCCGCAACGTTCGCCACGTGGGGAACCCAGAAAACGCTGTTGGACGGTATGGCCCACACCGGGACCAACCCTTGCGGCAGAGCTTGTTGATCCGTAGGCGCCGAGGACACCGGAGCAGCCGACGCCGGCGGAAGCGGAGGCGGCAGTGTCGTTGCGATCGGAGCCAAGCCGGAGGAAACTGAAACGGCGTCATTAATGTCTATGTACTCGCTGTTCGAGGGCCGTTTCCGTCGCTTCTTCGCGGGATGTTCACCTGGTTCAGGGCTCGCGTTCGTTGTGGTCGGGATTTTCAGTGTCCCGTTTACAGACATAGCGATGGCGGGAACAGTTCCTGTCCCCGTGGCAGCTATGATCGCCGGCTCGGCGTGCTCCAGCAACCACCGGATGGTCTCGCCGTCGGACTTGTGTCCGAGCTCGCGAGTCAGCTGGAAAATCCTGGCCGCACACGTTGCGGGCATCCGTATCCTCCTCCCGCGTCCCTCGACCTTCGTGTGACGGTCCTTCGTCGACGCCCTCTTCGTCGTCGGCGGAGACGGAGACATCGACGGGACCTGCACTGTAGACAGCGGCATAACCACCCCGAGCGGTGGCTTCACCCTCCCGTCCTCGTCCGGCTCCTCCTTCGGCGCCAGGCGCGTGTGGTCCGCGTGGCTGCTAGTCTCCGCGGTTCCGACGCCGTTGATGCTGAGATCAACGGCTCTGATGTCCTCGTCTTCTCCAATCTCTTGCTTTTGAACCGTCGCCATTGGAGAAACCCTAAGAGGAAGAAAAAAGAAACGGAAGGAGGGGGGATGAAGACGAAATTTAATAAAAGCGGGTACTCAGGGAATCGCTTAATAGCGTTACACGTCCGAGTGAGAATAAATGTGACGGCCCATATATATAGCAACATCTGTACCCTCGATGCATCGAAATCTACGGTTCATATGCGTCGGATGAGATTTCTGGACCCTCTTGGATTGCGCCACGTGGGTTAATCCCCTTCGTTTGCTCCATGGGACTATCTGTTTGGTGGGCTCCAGCCTCCTCCATATAGGATATATCTTCCACTCCAAATAAGCCCATACCTTTTTAATCTTTTTTTTTCACAGTTTGTTTAATTTTCTCAGCGTGTTGTGTAAATCATCGTTTTTTTATATCTAGAAAATTATTGGATATTGCCACATTGGGATTCGCTTGATATCTTCCGACTCTGCAAGCAAATAATTACCTGATTTTGTAATGGTCGTTGCATCTACCCTTTTTAATCTTTTTTTTTTACATTTTTATTTCATCAATTTATGAAACCTTTGCTTAGGTTTGGACACATCATATTTTGAAAGAGTTGACACGTCATTAAAAAACATTTTTGTATGGCATAAAGACAAGAAAAAAAAAAGAAGAAGCAAGTAGTAGCCCATAAGTGCCGGGCCCCAGTTGTAGGCTGCGCCACCAAAGGGCTATTGCGTCTGGGGAATGATCCCTTGTTGGATTCCATCTCCCAAACCCATCGTTGTGGCCTAAACCATATATACATACACATACACGTATACAGTACTATGTATTTATCCAGTGAATGGGTAGAGAAAGGGGGCCGGACCCTCCGAGTCCCGACCCGACCTGGTCTGAACCGTCCCCGGGGGTGGGGGAATTCAGAGGCTGTGGGTTCCACGTGTGTAGGGGCGTCTTTGTGTAAATATGTGGGGTCTACACCAGCTTTCGCCTACCACGGTTGACCAGTAACGCTTCGACACGTCACATCGACCCAATATTATGATGGTGGTGGTGGTGATGGGATGGGGTCTCCTGCATCATCCGGGAAAGCTGTTCGTAGTGAAACCTGCTGTGTCAATTGGTGGGTCTCCCTCAACTTTGAGTCCCACCTTATTTTGGCATTACTTTTTTTATACTCTCTCTTTCGTTATCACTTCAAACTTTTTATATGTAAAAATTAGGAAAAAATTTCGAAAAAAACTCCAACTTTTAAAAAAATTTACAAATAAATCTTCAACTTGTAAAGATGTCATTTAAATCTCAAACTTACAATATGTAACTGAATAAAACATCGAAGTTGCAAATTGTTGCTATAATAACCTGTTGACCGGTTTGACCACAATTTCAGGTGATCGAAAATCTACGTTGACCCAGAAAACTGATGTCAGTTTATCCACATAACCAACTTTAAATAATTATTTTTTACTCCAAAACCGAATTTATTTACTCTAAAAACAGATTAAATTTATACCCAAAAAATACTGATATGACAAAAAATCATTTAAAGTTGATTACGTGGATATGTTCATATCAGTTTTTCGGGTCAATCTGGATTTCCGATCGTCTAAAATTGTGATCAAACCGGTCAACGAATTATTAGAGCAATAATTTGCAAGTTCGAGATTGTATTCAGTTATATATTGTAAATTTGAGGTTTAAATTACATATTTACAACTTAGAAGTTTTATTAGAAGGTTTATTTGTAAATATAACCGAAGCTTTTTTATTTTTTTTAAATACAAGCAACTATAATCAAAAGCGTGTCAGAACATTCAAGTTGAAAAGGATGCAGCCGCCTTTTAAAAAAAAAGGTTTAAGTTTGTTAGTAAAACCAAAAGAAATCACTTGTTTATATGGTTGTTGTATTATTATTTTATAGTAATATTATTGCACAGAACCACCAGCTTTTTTTATTTGAATCTAAGTTAGGAGAGAAATTTGTTAGCACCTAAATCTATTATTAATTAAAATTCTTAATATTTGCAAAAACAAATAATTTAAAGGAAGAAATTAAGAGAAAATAAATAAATTTCAAGATATTAAAAGGTGGAGAATAGGTGTCGTTAAAAATATTACTGGTAAAAGTGTTAAAAAAAATTGAACCCTAATATAATAGACATTTATAACTTTGAAACTATAATAAAAGATGTGGGAATGCAACATGTATTAAAAATAAATCAAATGTAAATTTAAACTTTATACCCAATATAGGCCTTTTATCCACGAAATTGAAACCCAAAAATCATCTGATACATTTGTTTTATTAACCTCCAGAAATTATATCTTAAATATATCTTTTTTTGTTCAGTCGCAAAAAATAACAACAGAAGACAAGACCTATGCGGCATACAGGTAATGACATTTAACTGATCTATGATGCAAGATTGGATGCGAGTGTACCAAAGGTTAGATTCAGAATGTGGCAAGAGCTTGCTTTCTGTTCTTTCTCGCCAGTTCGTATAGTCCTTGAAGCATCCAACAATGGCTTCTCCAAATCTTTTTTCACGCATATGGCCTACGATCCGGACATGTACGTGTACCGTGACTGAGCTCCGGCCAAAAGCTCCACGATTTTATCTGCACAGGGACAGACCCATAAGCAAGAAAGAAGAAGACAGCACAAGCAAACACAGAGAAACCCGTGGAGACTATGAATTTTGAACAAACACTTGAATTTATCCAAGGCACCACCTGTGAGAAACCCAATCATCGGAACTGGTTCCAGCGTTTTTTGAGCCGTTTTCAGTTTCTGCCTGAAGTAGCAGATGAGTGAACGAAATTAGTAGAATTCCATGAACATATTGATGTGGATTGATGTAAGAGACGGCATATAAACATATATATATATACATACATACATACCTTGTGTACTTGGTAAAGAACGGATCTCTCATGAGGTACAGCGCCCACAAAAGCTTTCGTCTCTTAAGCTGAATAGAATAGAAACGTTAGAATTCCGGTTAGACCAGACATTGTAAATCTAAAGCAGGGGTAAGATTAAAGTTTTCATGGTTGGCGAGTCTCTAACCTCGTCTTTTTCAGCCGTCAAAAACTGGACCTGCTTGCCCTTCTCGCCCCACCATATTGCGTTGGCAACTTGTGTAAGAATTCCCATTCCAAAGATGTCCACAGCAAGAGAGACGGTCCACGGAACCCAAGACCGGATACCATATTTTCTGATGAAGAGAACGTAAATGAGTGGCCTTATTATGAACAGTGTTTCACCCATGACAAATAAGGCTCCACAGATGCCTTTCTCAGACAATAGCATAGAAAGCGTTGGCCTCTCAATTGCAGGAGCTGAAACGAATAAGTTGCAGACATTAGTGAATGAGTTGATACAGCTTAAGATCAGAGCTTTTCGATAGTTGAGTGGAAGCTTACATGGAAGCTGTGTAACAGAATGTTGATGTTGATGATGATCTCTCCATGACCAACTTGAGTTGGATGCCATCTTCGCATTTTGACCAAATCTACTTAACGCTGTCATCGCCCTTCCTTCTGAATTCCACTGGTTATGATGATTATAGTTTCCAAAATTATAAGGACCTTGACTCCTATCCAGCTTCCCGGAACCGCCAGTTCTATTTTGTAGATCAGAACTATCGGTGTCCTTCCCATCATTAGGTATCCCGCCACCATGTAGAAGCATCTTATATCCACTGTTGCGAAACAAGGCTAACCTAAAAATAACCCTGAAATCCATGTTTTTTTAATCAAGAAGTTACAAGGATGTCCAAATGAGATAACTAACAAGATGTCCAAAAGTGGCTTACTTACTTCATAGCTTCAGTGAACACAATGAAGTTCCATTTTTTGTCTCCATAGTAATGCTCAGCTACGACCTCCACAAGGGTTTCCAGGTCCTTCAGGATGGAGATGAACAGCGGATAAGGAGGTGAATCAGGGTCGGAAGATCCCACATGCACGGGGCTAGGAGCAGTTTCAATTATGTGTTCATGGATAGTTGTGATCATGCCGAAAATAGAGCTTACTACAGAAGATTACCGAAAACGTTTATAAGAACAAAAGATTCAAAATCATAGTAAGTAATCTAGAACAACCGACGGTAAGCAGAGATTGTGAACGGGCAAGAGATACATTAAAGGAAACGTTGTTCTCATAAATTTCCACAATCTAAGCAAATTCCAGTCACTGTCAAGGCACATGATTTTGACAGATCTACGAAAGAAACTACCGCAAAAGATGCAACTAAACGGGGAATGATTTACTCGATATTTCGGAGTCATAAAAGTCCAGTAAGCCAGTTTAGATCCAAGAAAACAAGTAATCCAAAATACTTTAGAAGCGCCTAAAAGAAGAGGAAAATTCTAAGCTTGAAAGCAGTAAAATGTTACCAAAGATTCACAAAACCTGCTTCTGGTCCAATGTCTGAAGCAGAAAACTTCTCAGGAAGCAGCCATGTCAATCCCTACAACAAGATCCGATACATTTGGCCAACAATTAGATGGAAGGAGAATTGAACAACATAAGCACACTGAAACCATGCTTTTGAGAGCAAAGATTTGACCGAGAACGATCAATAAGATAGAAAAGAGCCCTTGAACCAAAACCATGAGTAGAGCTTCTGCCAAGCTTTCAACCCTTTTCAAGCCTCTAAGAAAACCAACAGCGGACAAAGCAAGAAAGAGTTCGAGACACTGTATCTTGTTTCACCGGTGAGGAGCATTCCGTACATATATCTCTACCTCCATGGAATTTTTTCCGGAATACAATAGAGACAGTATTCTCACAGAATCGATCAATCAGAGAAACAGAACGGAAATGGCATCAATTAAACCTTAAAACCTCAAGAATTTCAGAGTTAAGGACAAGATTGATCTTACGTTGGCAAGGGATCCCAAGGATTGAACATACTCTCGATTTCTCCATACCCATTTCTTGTAAGCTTCCATTCAAGCTCCGACAAGACGAAACGCTTTCGACAGAACCCAGAATCAACTATTGCACAACCAATTCGCGCCCCCTTCCCGTAGAATTTCTCCCCCTTATTTATATACTCTCGTAAATTTTCCCGTCCCGAGAGGACAAGATAGAATCCTCCGCCAGCCGTAGGTGGGGCCGATGCGATAGAAACGATGTACCGTACGGGGAGAGTAGGATCCGATCCTGGCCGTTGATCTACAACTCGCTGAAAACCAACGGCTGAGATTCGGTAGATCTATTTAAGAAACCGATGCCACACGAAAATTACAATGGGCCTAAAATGGTTCAGGTTTCAGGCCCAGATCAATAGCCCGAAAAGCAAAAAATGGTGAAAACGCCGTCGTTGCGATAAGCCAATCGTAATGAATTCGGGTACGTATGCCCTCTTGCGTCAAAGTTCCGATGCTTTGATTGCTTAAGTTCCCGGGAAACTTGTGTCCATATATATACTTCTGTTCTGTGTAACATTGTTGTGTAATGAATGGGAAAAAAAAACTTGGATCTTGCCTTATGAAACGTTTTCTGGCTAACGTGTAACCAAGTAAAGTATACAGTAGGAATTGTTGCATTACAAAAAAAAAAATTAAAAGAAATTGTTGAGAGTGGGATTTGAACCCACGCCCTTTCGGACCAGAACCTTAATCTGGCGCCTTAGACCAACTCGGCCATCTCAACTTTTAGAATAGACTGCAATTTAAAATTTGTAAGATACCGCACCTTCCCTTCCGGTCCGTTTTGCCGTTGTGTGGATAGCTTTTTTTTTTTCCCTTTGGGTTGTGAGACTACTCTTGACATGCATTGGTTCGTTTATTGTTAACCTTATTCATTTATTACAATCAGAAATGGCTCTAGAACTCTATATTGAAATTTAGAAAGGGATTATATCTACCACAGCTATACGTTGATTACAATAATAAATTGGTTCATAATTAGCTCATAAATATATTCAGTAGTAATAGCCCGTAATAACCATACTTTAAAGATGAAAACAAAGTAGAAAAGGTTGCCTTTTAGAACAGCCGGCAGACAATTGCGTGCCGTTTCGTCCATGTTAGGCCCACAACCTCCTCACGCGCCTTGGACTCCTCGACGCGCGAGGTTGGTGGCAGTCTCGAAAATTCCACGAACTGTCGTGGCAATCTCGTATACTACGCCCCTCCGGCGCACGTGACTCTCCTTCCGTATCAACCGAGGAGAATTCGACACTGCAGCCACCGGAACGTGCCGCAAAAAAAATGGCCACGTCAGCATCTCGGTAACGCCTTCACTTCAAATTTTGCTCGAATCCCAACCGTCCGATTCCCCTACTCTAACACCAAACCAGAGCCGCACACTTTTTTTTTAAAAAAAGTATTCCCCAGATCATCTCTCGATACGTTAAAATCGTGCGTTATTGAACGAATCTAAAGCCGACCGAATGATCTGACACTGCTCTCTCTGAGACAGAAGCGAGAATTCTGAGAAGAAAGTTCTGATTTTGAATTCCATTTCGAATTCTTAGCTTCAACTGACCTTTTCCACGGCTTCGCGTCTTTTCCTCCATTACAGAACAGTGTGTTCTAACTGTTCCTGATTTTGTCGTTTCAGAGAACCCGGAACAGGGTTATTTCCAGGTAAATTTGTCTTTCTGGGTTTCAATTCAGAAACGGTCGCTGCGATTACGCAGTTACTTCCTGTAGATTTTCTTGTATTTCACACAGTCTCGGGAAAAAGTTGAGATTTTTTGCAGTAAGTTTTTCGCAAATTTCGACTCGGGTTTTTTTTTCCACCAAACTTCCGAGTAGTGGAGTTTTGTCTTCAACTGTCGGCGGAGATCTTGATATCACCTGGCATTCATTTCTTCAAAAGGGTATACTTGCCATTTCGAGGAGGGCATCGCCTCTATTGTCCTCTTTTCTCTCGTGGAGCGTCCATTGCTTAATGATCATCATTATTCATATGGTTAATGATGAATCTTTCCCTTTTTATGTTGTCTTGTCTTTTGATGAGACACTCATTGTTCACGCCGATGGAGTAAAGGAACTGGGAAATGACTTGTTAATTTTTGTCGGGTAGGGTCTTGTCTTCCAACAAAGCGAGCCTTTTTTTGTGATCATGCAAAGATTCTCGCAGCTATTGGCGCCGTCCCCTTTGTTTTGTTCCCGTGTCTGTATTAAAATTTTATCCCCACTTGATCATCGCTCTTACAACTGCTCCACTGCCTTTTTTGCTTTGGTGAAGAATAAAACAAAGATCGCTTCTTTCGCAGATTTTCTCATCTGGGCATAGTTTTTCTCCATATCTTCATCTGAGCATATGCTCCAGTTCATGGATTCTCTCTTTTGTTTGTCACGTAGTATCTGATCAATCATTAAAGCTTTGGTCTTTCGTTGAAGTTTCGGTTTTTTCCGCTGTAATTCGTCTGGAAATCTCTAAATTTTCAGTTTTTCGCTCTGATTCTGTGGCACAGTGTTCAAGAAATGTGATTGGTTCTGGTCTAAACGGAGAATTGGCATCATGGTGGAAGGGGATACTGGGAATTCAGCTAAGGGTGATGCACCATCAGCCGAAAAATTGTTATTACAGGCACAAGGGATTGTCCCGATTGCTTTGGACAAAGCAAGAGAAGTGAAAGGATTTACCAGCAGATGGAGAGTGATCGTTTCAAGATTAGCGCAAATACCGTCGTGCTTATCGGACTTGTCCAGCCATCCTTGCTTCTCAAGAAACTCTCTCTGCAAAGAACAGATGCATGTTGTATCCGCGACCTTGAAGGAAGCCATTGAACTTGCAAACGTATGCATCGAGGAGAAACATGAAGGGAAGTTGAAGATGCAGAGTGATCTCGATTCTCTGTCTGCAAAACTTGATTTGAGTCTGAAGGATTGTGGACTGCTTATCAAAACGGGCGTTCTGGTTGAAGGCACTTTGCCTCCATCTTCTGTTCTATGCCCAGAAACATCCAGCGTACAAGAACTGCTTGCTCGTCTTCAGATTGGTCACTTGGATTCGAAGAGTAAAGCCCTCGACCAGCTCGCCGAGATCATGAAAGAAGATGAAAAGGTTGTTTTGAGCGCGTTGGGTCAGACCAACATTGCGTCTCTTGTCTAGTTGCTGGTGGCGTCCTCCACTTGTGTAAGGGAAAAGGCGGTAATCGTGATCTATTCTCTGGCAGAATCTGGGGGTTGTGAGAACTGGCTTGTGTCTGAAATCGTTTTGCCTCCATTGATAAGGCTTCTGGAATCAGGTAGTTGCTAAAGAAAAAGCGGTCATTACCCTCCAAAGAATGTCAATATCATCGGAAATCGCACGTTCCATCGTTGGCCAAGGCGGGGTCGGACCACTGATCGAGATCTGCAAAATGGGTGACTCAGTCTCGCAAGCTGCAGCGACCTGCACGTTGAAGAACATCTCTGCAGTGCCTGAAGTCAGACAAACCCTAGCCGAAGAAGGAATTGTAAAGGTGATGATCGATATCCTCAACCGCGGAATCTTGTCAGGATCCAAAGAATACACAGCCGAATGCCTACGGAACCTCACTTCGAGCAACGAGAGTCTCCGAAGAGCGGTCCCTCGACGGCCCACTTCCCCAAGAATCTGCAGTTGTAGCGATACGGAACCTCGTTTGATCAGTCCCGGGCGAAACCCTGTTCGAGATAATCCCGCGTTTAGTCCATGTCCTGAAATCCGGGTCACTCGGTGCGCAACAAGCGGCTGCATCAACAATATGCAGGCTTAATACTTGTACAGAGACCAAGAAGCTGTTTGGTGAATCTGGTTGCATCCCATTACTGATCAGAAGGTTAGATTCTAAACCTAGCTGTGCAAGAGAGATCGCTGCTCAGGCGATCGCCGGTCTCGTCACAGTTCTGCAGAATCAGAGGGAAGTGAAGAGGGACGAGAAGAGCATGCCGAGTTTGGTGATGCTGCTGGAACCGAGCCCGAGTAACACGGTGAAGAAGTACGCCGTTTCGAGTTTGGCGGCTCTGTCATCGAGCAGGAAGTGCAAGAAGCTTATGGTGTCGTACGGAGCTGTTCGGTACCTTAAGAAGCTGTCGGAGATATTACACGATATACTCCTTGGGGAACACCTGATCGTTGTTGCACAGGATCTGTTCCTTTCTTCTTTTTCATTGGTTGGTTATGTACATGTTTTGTGTCTGCTTTTTCAGGCTAGTTGCGTAGGTTGATTACACGTAGATAATTGCTTGTATAGCCTTTATTTTCCTTCATCATTCTTTGTGTATAAAACCACTTGTAAGGTGCATTTTGTTAGATATACAGAGAAGAAAAGCATTTAGAAGAAACGTTTTCTCTCAGCTTGTTCTTGCTCTGTTAAAGGTCGAAATGGTATCAGAGCTTCACTAAAGTTTCCGCTGATATCGCGAGTCTCATCCTGTATCTTGATGAAGCGGATGTTATCTGGAAAACCCTGGAGACACAGTTCAAACAGAAGAATGTGTCAAAGATTTTCACGGTTGAGCAGAAAATCGATTCTCTTCAGCAAGGTGCGTCAGATCTCAACACGTTCTTTACCAAGCTCAACACTCTCTGGGAAGAACTGAAGAATTATGAACCATATCCCCACTGTACTTGTGGAGGTTGCACCTGTCAGGCACTTCCCAAGTTCATTGAGCTTGTTGAGCGACGCAATGTTGTTAAGTTTCTCATGAAACTTAATGAATCCTACCATCCTGCTCGTCGCCAGATCCTGATGATGGATCCATTGCCTAGCCTGACAAAGGTTTATAACCTTATCTCTCAGGAGGAACATCATCGCCAAGCTGTTCCCTTGTCTTCAGACTCTGTTGTCTTCCAAGCCTCAGCTAACCCTTCTTTCAAACCTCGACCTTCTTTCTCACCACACTCAAACACTACCACTAAAACTCGCCCTTATTGTACCCATTGTCGCATTCATGGCCATACTGCTGCTCGATGCTACAAGATTCATGGGTATCCACCCAACTCTCGGGGTTCACAGTCATTCCTCTCTAATGGCTCTGGCACACAGCCACCTCTGCTTCCCAAGCCTCGCCTGGGTAATGATTCTAAATCTCAAGGTTATGTCAATACCTTACCATCTGGTGCAGGATCCTCTGGCAGTGTCAAGGCCACTTCAGTCTCCCCTCAATCCAGCACTCTTGAACAAGCTCAGGCCTTGTTTGCACAGTTTCAGTCTCAACTCGAGCATCTTGGCAACACATCTGTGGATTCAGACTTGGTAGTCACTCAACCACCTTCCCCAGCACCAGGTATTTCCATTTCTCTCACCAACCATGCTCTCTCCACTATAATCCCACAGCCACATATTTCCCCTGCATTCTGGATCATTGATTCAGGTGCTAGCCACCATATCTGTTGTGATTTAAGTTTGTTCTCAGATGTTGAAACTATATCTCCCATTTCTGTTACTTTGCCTAATGGTAATCATATTCTAGTAACTCAATCAGGCACTGTCCATATTTCTGCATGTCTGATTCTTCCTTCAGTTTTGTTTATTCCCACCTTTCGTTTTAATCTCTTGAGTGTTAGCGCTCTCACGCAACACGCGTCATATGTTGTGACCTTTTCTCACACTTCTTCCGTTATTCAGGACCCTATGCAGGGCTTGATGATTGGGAAGGGTGATCGGCACAATAATCTCTACATTTTGCGTATGCAGCAACCCACTGTTCCTGCATCTCCAGTCTCAAAGTCTCTCTATACAGCTTTTTCCACTACTGATGCTTCTCTTTGGCATCAGCGTTGCGGTCACCCATCTAGTTTTACAATCAAGGGTGCTCTTACTTCGGCTCAGCCTCTTTTTGCTCCATCCAACTCGGCAACTACGGATTGTTTGGTCTGTCCGATGGCTAAACAGCGTCAGCCATCTTTTCCTTTGGGTGGACACATTTCTACAGAACCTTTTGCTTTGCTTCATATGGATGTTTGGGGTCCTTACAGTTTTCCATCTGTCGAAGGATACAAGTTTTTCCTTACCCTTGTAGATGACTTTACTCGAGTTACATGGATTTACATGTTAAAACAGAAGAGTGATGTTCTTTTTCAATTTCCTGCCTTTTTATCTTATGTCAAGAATCAATTTAATACATCTGTCAAAGTGATACGTTCTGATAATGCTCCGGAGCTCTCCTTTACTGATCTTGTATCCAAATCTGGTATCCAACATCAATTTTCGTGTCCTTATACGCCGGAGCAAAACTCGGTTGTAGAACGTAAACACCAACACATCCTCAATGTAGCTCGAGCACTCTTATTTCAATCCAATGTTCCTCTTGCTTATTGGAGCGATTGTGTGAGGACTGCTGTTTATCTTATCAATCGTCTCCCAAGTCCTTTGCTTGACAAACAGACCCCTTTTGAGAGACTTACTAAAACCAAACCTTCATATTTACATCTACGGGTCTTTGGTTGTCTCTGTTTCGTCTCAACAAACAAACATCAACGCCATAAATTTTCTGCTCGAGCTTCACCGTCTGTTTTCCTTGGGTATCCCCCTGGTGTCAAAGGTTACAAGGTTCTCAATCTTGAAACCAATACAGTTTCTATCTCTCGGAATGTTGTTTTTCATGAATCAACTTTTCCGTTTCAAAAAACGTCCGTGTCTTCTGAAACACGAGACTTCTTTCCAGCGTCTGTTTCTCCATATCATCTCTTTGATTCCCCTTCTGTTCAGCCAACTGCTTCTGATCCTTCTGTGTCTTCGACCCCATTAACATCCAATGTCCCAAACACTTCTTCAAGTTCTTCTGATATAGTTCAACATCTGGGAATCTCACGAAAATCACAACGAATATCCAAGGCCCCATCATACCTATCAGACTATCATTGTTACTTGCTCCACCATTCACAGCCCCCCACCACCTGTTCCAAAATTCCATACCCTTTATCATCCTGTCTATCTTACTTTCACTTAAACCCCACATATAAAACCTTTGCCCTTTCAATCCTTGTTGAACCCGAGCCCAAGACATACCTACAGGCTACCAAATCTGAAGCCTGGATGCAAGCCATGAGGCTTGAATTGGATGCTTTAACTCGTGCAAACACTTGGCAGATTTGTTCTCTTCCACAGGGAAAGCATCCTGTAGGATGTAAGTGGGTCTTCAAAACGAAGTATAATGCTGATGGGAGTATTGAACGCTACAAAGCTAGATTGGTCGCAAAAGGATACACTCAGATCGAAGGTTTGGACTACATGGACACCTTCAGCCCTGTAGCTAAATTGACAACGCTTCGGATCATCCTTGCTTTGGCAGCTTCTCAGTCTTGGATTCTCTATCAGTTTGATGTCTCCAACGCATTCTTGAATGGAGACTTAACTGAAGAGATTTACATGACATTACCTTCAGGATACTCTGCTCTTAAGGGGGAGCATGTCAGTCCAGATGCTGTTTGCAAGCTCAACAAATCGATTTACGGCTTGAAACAAGCATCTCGTCAATGGAACATCAAACTGTCTGCTTCTTTGTTGGCTGCTGGTTATGTTCAGTCTCTTGCTGACACTTCTCTCTTTGTCAGACATCAGGGCTCTTCCATTACTGTTGTCTTGATTTATGTGGATGATCTTCTCATTGCTGGCAATGACGCAGAAGCTATACAGGCAATCAAGAATCACCTACAGCAGCAGTTTCACCTCAAAGACCTTGGTACTCTTCGCTATTTCTTGGGCATTGAAATAGCTCGATCTTCCAAAGGTATTCATCTTTGTCAACGCAAATATGCCCTGGAGATTCTTGAAGAATATGGTCTGCTTGCTGCGAAACCTGCTAAGACTCCAATGGATTTGAAAGATAAGTTGCAACAGAACTCTGGTGACCCTCTCTCTGATGTTCATTTTTATCGGAAGTTGGTGGGCAAGCTAATCTATCTTTCTGTAACTCGACCCGACATCTGTTTTGTGGTTCACAAGCTGAGTCAATTCATGGCGAATCCCTGTTCTAGTCACTTGCAGGCAGCTTATCGAGTTCTGAGATACTTAAAGCTCGCTCCTTCTCAGGGTATCTTCTACTCAGCTTCATCGCCTCTAGTTTTGAATGCCTATTCGGACGCAGACTGGGCCTCCTGCCCCGATACACGTCGGTCAACCACTGGATATTCAGTATTTTTGGGCACATCTATGGTTTCATGGAAAGCGAAGAAACAGCCTACGGTTTCTCGCAGTAGCTCAGAATCCGAATACAGGGCTGTGTCTCATACTGCTTGCGAATTGCTCTGGATTTATTCTCTGCTCACTGAGTTACACATTCCCTGTCGAAGACCCTGCAATATTTTCTGTGACAACATTTCGGCAATCCATCTTGCTAACAACCCTGTTCATCATGAGCGTTCCAAGCACATTGATTTGGATTGTCATTTCATTCGTGAACACGTTAAATCTGGTTTCTTGAAGCTTCTTCATGTTACGTCAAAGGATCAGGTTGCTGACTTAATGACGAAGCCATTAGCTGCTGAGCAATTCCGATATCTTCTCTCCAAGATAGGGACACATAATTTGTTTTCCCCATCTTGAGGGGGAGTATTACACGATATACTCCTTGGGGAACACCTGATCGTTGTTGCACAGGATCTGTTCCTTTCTTCTTTTTCATTGGTTGGTTATGTACATGTTTTGTGTCTGCTTTTTCAGGCTAGTTGCGTAGGTTGATTACACGTAGATAATTGCTTGTATAGCCTTTATTTTCCTTCATCATTCTTTGTGTATAAAACCACTTGTAAGGTGCATTTTGTTAGATATACAGAGAAGAAAAGCATTTAGAAGAAACGTTTTCTCTCAGCTTGTTCTTGCTCTGTTAAAGGTCGAAAGGAGATGGAAGTTCCGGGCGCCAAGAAGCTTCTCGAACGACTCGAGAAAGGAAAACTCGGAAGCTTCTTCAGTAGGAAGTAAAGAGGTGAAGAGGGGGAAAACTCTGCAAAACTGAAAATGATACTATATATATATATGTGTGCGCGCGTGTATATAATGAAATGTTTGATAATCTATATGAAACCGAGATCTTGATCTATACGTTTGGTCTTTTAGTAAATTTACTTCGTATAATGTATAATATTTTCCTGCAACTCTACAAGCAGCGTCAACAGGCCGTTAATGGGCTTCGGGGAAAAGCCTGCGATATATGATTGGACTAATGGGCCTTCAGATAAAAATCTTCCTTGATATGTGTGCCACGTGGTTTACACGCGCGTATATCCTTAACGCCAGCGCACCATAACGGGGTATAATCAGGTACAGGCAGCGGAACATTGATTAGGTAGGTCCCAGTTAGTCAACAGAATCGACGGCTGAAAATAAGCGATCAGGAGATGAGTTCGTTGACGAATCGGCTTTGTTTTGTTCGTTTATAGGAAGAAAAAAATGACCAAACACAGCCTTATCATAGTCCTATCCCCAGACGGCACAACCGAAGAAGAAGAAGACAATATAGCTGACATTCCAAAAACAGAGCGTTAAATCTCTCTCCCCCCCCCCCCCCATTTTTTTT